ACAAAAACTGTCATGAGGATTGGAATAGAATGTAAAGTCGCGTTCAGTTTGGGTGAAGTTTCCACCAGCCCCGCCATCCGCAAGAGAGAGCGTATACGTTCCTCCAACACTAAGTCGTGAGAGGGGGGCTGCCCCCCGTGTGTAGCACCTATCCAATGTGGAATCCAAGGTAACATTTGAATCCCCCAAAACAAGAAGACCCTTGGAGTGTCAGGAAACAATGGTGCAAAGATGCAAAAATAATTTATGCTGAAAACGATTAGGCACGTAGTAAGAGACAAAAGTAACCTCCTGGTCCCAGAGGGTGCCTTGCAGAAGCAAATACCTGCCCGTGGGGTCCGCTATATTCCAAGCACAGACAAAAGGGAGATTGCGCTTGAAAGCTATCAGTACACCCCGACGCTTCTCAGGAGCCGAGGCCGTGTAAAAGATGGGATAGTGAGGTGAAAGCGGAGGACTGAGAAAACCTGGTCTCTTGTAAACATACCACGTCAATTTGTTGCGATTTGAGGTGATGAAAAACTTTAGCCCGCTTCTGAGGCGAATTGAAGCCTTGAACATTTTGTGAATGTATTTTCAAAAGGGGTAAGGCCATGGCGGCACCAGCGCAACACGCTCAGCAGAAAAAAAAAAAAAAGCATAAAGCAGCCAACAATTTCCACTCCCAATGGCGATCGGACCGTGGCGTCCCAGAACCCTGCATAAAAACAAAAAAAAAAAAACAAAGAAGAAAAGAAACAAAGAAAGAAAAAGTCACAAAAAGTATATACAACAGTGCAATCGTTTCACGCCAATGGAGGCGTGCATCCTGCACTTGAAGGATACCAGTTAGGGGTGGCTCTACCACCGGACACATGGCTGCAAATGGAAACATCAAAACCATAAGCCCTCATGGGGCAAGAAGGCAATAAACATAATAGAACGGGATACCAAAATAATAAAACTATGAGTCCCAGGAGCGAGAACCTCTGTGATGACCTCCCCATAGAAACCCGGAGAACCATGGGGGCCAATCCCCTCCCACCCAACCGGGCCTACCGAGTCAGCCTCCAACCCCGGAGCCCGAGGGAACCATCACCCTATGTCACCAACGGAGACCCGAATAACATCACCCGGACCCAAAATAGGCTGCGGCAGCAGAAAGTCATAAATCTTAAGTCCAGAAAGAGACATCCCACCAACCAAAGATGAAACCCAAGGAAGCAAGCCGGATCAGTCCCAACCTGGAATGCTAACAAACCGGGAAAGCCCTAAGGGCCAAACTCACGGTCTGGTCAGAGAAGTCCATCAGTGAAACGATACGTGGGAGGTCCAAGATGCATCTTCAGCCCGGAGAAGAACAGGAAGGACTTGATCGTAGAGGGGTCTGAGGGAGGGCCCTCTTCCTGTAGGACGACCGCTCCCAGATGTGGCCCGCAGGGAAGCGGCCTCGCCGGGGATCCAGATGAATGAGCTGGGCTCTGATCAGCAGCTTCCGGCGAAAGAAGGTGTAAAGATTCCAGGAGAGAATGGGCCTCCTCCGGCATAGCAACAGTGACTGTGGCCCTGGTAGTTGAAGTGAGGGGGAACGGAAAGCCCCAGGCGTATTTAATACTGCGTTTCGCCAGGACCGAAGTGAAGGGCTTCAACTGGCGGCACTTCTAAAGAGTGGTCTGGGAGAGGTCTGCGAAGAACTGGTAGCGATGCCCCTGGAAGCTGAGATCAGGGTTGTTTCTGGCCGCCAAGAGGATAGTTTCATTAGTGTGGTAATAAGTAAACTTGATGATAATGTCCCTCGGGAGCCCATCCGGTTGTCTGGGGCCCAATGCACGATGTATGCGGTCAAATTCAAGCCAGTCAATGGGAATGGCGGGTGTCAGGTCCTGAAACAGAGCAGTAGCGGTGGAAGTGAGATCTGCGACCGTTTCCGGGATACCCCTTAACCGCAAATTGCCACGGCGGGGGGGGGAACGGTTTTCGAAATCCTCAAGCCGTAGCAGCTCATCCGCCAATTCTTTCTTGACGTCGCACAAATCCTGTTCGTGATTTTCAATGACTGTGGCCGCAGCGTCCATTTTATCTTTGAGATCGTCCGGTTGCCCAACTCCCGAATTTCCCGCGAAAGACGGTCGGCCAGCTTCGAGGTAGCGGAGGACAATTCCGACTGCAGCATGAATTTGAAGCGGCACAGGAGCTCAGCATCCCGCAAAGATGGAATGGGAGACTGCCGGGATGTCTCTGATGCCAGGTCTTCCATACCGCCAGGATCTGGCCCACCCACAGGTAGCGACGGTGGGGGACCCGAAATCGAGGCCAGGGCTTCATATGCAGCCTCCGGCAAGAGCCGCGAACTCGCGGCCCGGGGTCCTGGAAGCCTCCGGCGGCCGGCCCAAAATCGAGGCCGCGGCTTCAGCCACGACCTCCGGCGCGGCCCGCCGGGTGCTGGAGGCGCGGCCGGCGATTTCTTGCCCATCGGGGTACTGGAAGGACAAGGGGCCAGGGAGAAAGCAGGGGGACCCCCCCCCCCCCCCCCGACGGTCAGAAATCAGCCGATGTGTCCGGCGGCTGAGAAAGATATCTAAAAGGCAGCCATCCTGCTGCTCACCCTAAACTACTTATTTAAGCTAAACATTTGGTAGTTGGTCGTATGACTGGGAACCTTCTGATGAAGAAAATCGTCACTCTGCTGTGCATTGCAGCTCAGGGCAGTTACTGAACTGAATAGATGCCTAAAGCCAGCCATAGATGGAGCAACTTTCTTTCCTGCAACCAAAAGTCCAAGTTGATGGGGGAATCTATCCCACGAAACCATTGTGTTCTTGTGGGGGGGGAGCCATCCCTGCCGGGAGATCAGTGATTACTGTTAGCAGCTATAATAGCTGCATGTAAAATCCGAAAGGCTGGTTGTACCCAGGGCTGTGGATAAAGGGGTACCACTAGTCTTCCTGTACAGGGCCCAGAGGGTGAATTAGATATGGGCACGGAGGGTGATTGGCGTGGTGGCGAAGGCGGGGGGAAATTCCTAGATTCGATCCCCTGTATGGCTCTCTATGCAGCAGTTGAAAACTGGCTTCTCCTCTACCTCCCGTTGGCTTTCAGCTGCTGCAGAGAGCCATACAGGGGATCCGTTTCAGTTATTGCCCTGCCCCAACCCCCCCTCCCCAATCACCTTCTCTGTGAACCATATGTTTCCCCCTACTGCACAGGCTCCCCAGTGTACCCCCACCTCACAGTGCTGCCGGATTCCCTCCTCTCCTTCCCATCGGCAGGTGCAAGCATACAATACGATCCTTCAGGATGGAGAGTGGGGGAAGTGTCTGTTAAATATGTCACATTTACCAGCCCCTTCCTTTTCTGAATAAGCATAAGTGATCAGTACCGATCACTCACTGTGTTCATTCATAACTGAATAATAAACTGTGTTTTTTTTTGGAGGACAAGGCCCTGTCAGATTGACTGTATGGGGCCCCGTGGTTTCTAACAGTAGCTCTGGTTGTACCCAGGTTGATCAATCAACTTGGGTACATTCAGCCAGCCCATACATGGTTCAAGTCCCTGATGAACCAGCTGAGATTTGATTTAAACTGTCTATGGCTGGCTTTACTGCCCAACCTTAGCATGCAGGCCAGGAGCTGGACAGTCAAAGTTCCCAACAAAAGCCTTTCAAAGACATTAAGTTTCACAACATATTTCCTGTAAGCATTATGGACCATGTGTGTTTCTGCATAAGTGTTTGTGAATTTTTTACTACAGGTAAAGGCTAGGCGGTACTGCCAGGCATAAACCAGGTTACCAGAAGACCAGGTGTCCTCTCCAGCAGCTTTTCATTAGACAGGTAATCTTATTTTAATGAGAAGAATGTGTTCTTATACATCATTACTGCCGGCAACATCAGAACTGCTTTAGGTTTCCTCTTTGTCTGGTATCAGAGATTTATAGGACAATTATAAGAGTGTTATGGTGAGAATCAAACACACAATCTGGGAGTGTTGACCTGTCTCCACACGCTGACTTGACTCATCTGTCACATTATGTAAACATTGGAAATTTCAATCCCTCAGCCTACCTTGTGATAAATAACACAATAGCCTATAAAGCTGTGCCCTGAGCATTAGTACTTCTAAAGCTGTCTACAGCCATCAGAAAATGGCTGCATAATTACATAAATACAACAATCTGTACTGGTGAGTTACATAAATCTGCCTCTTGTAAACCCCTACATAGATGCATTCAGACAAGGAAAGTGTCATCCCCCCCATTGGTTTGCTGCTGCTCGGTCACAGGCTAGGGCTCTGGACCAGGCAGGACTGTCATCTACAGGGATGTCCTAGATCTGACCACAGTTAAAGTGAATGCCAGCACCTGGAAAATATTTGGGAAAAAAAAAAAAAAAGCGTTCCCTGTAGAGGAAGTCTTTTCAAACTCACTTGTCCCACTGCCCACATATCCATATCCTCTGCATATCCAAAGCCCCCCTCTGCTAACTTCACATAAGTGCCAATGGGATCATCCACAGCAGGATACAGCATGTCAGAAACATTATAGGCTGGCCCCACTTTTTCATTCTGGTGAGGTCTGGACACAGTCCCCCAAGGCTCTGTCAAGTAGTCAACCAATCTAGAAGCTGCAGGAGCTGAAATGGCTATGGTTTAGCAGGAATCTTGATAGGAGCATCACATTACTAGAAGAATCAGCATCAGAAAGAGAAAAAACTTGTACAGGAAGAATACAAGTTTCTCTCAGTATGGGGAAATAGCATATTTTTAGCTCCATAAGACGCATAGATGTACGTCATATAGAGCGTCTGGGCCCGGAATTCCCACCTCCGCTGCCTTGTTAGAATACCAGGCCGGCCACTCGGCTCTTCTGTGCTCCTCGGTCCAGCGCTGTCCTCACCGTCTTCTCTCCCCGGCGCTGGCATCTTTAGTGTGGGCACTCCCGGCTGTGACAGCTTGCAGCTTCCCACTGCGCATGCGTGAGAAGTGCTGTGCTTTGTGAATGGTCCGGAGGTCTTCTGGGACCTGTCATTTGTCCCAGAAGATGGGGGAGGGAGGACAACTCCGTGGAAGTGGGAGCGGGTACCTGTCAAATTCGGATACCCGCTCCGCTCTCCCCCCTGCTCCCCAAAGGTCCGCAGTCTCTGGTCATCTCCTGTACTGTGTCCGCAGTCTCTGGTCATCTCCTGTACTGTGTCCGCAGTCTCTGGTCATCTCCTGTACTGTGTCCGCAGTCTCTGGCCATCTCCTGTACTGTGTCCGCAGTCTCTGGCCATCTCCTGTACTGTGTCCGCAGTCTCTGGCCATCTCCTGTACTGTGTCCGCAGTCTCTGGCCATCCCCTGTACTGTGTCCGCAGTCTCTGGCCATCCCCTGTACTGTGTCCGCAGTCTCTGGCCATCCCCTGTACTGTGTCCGCAGTCTCTGGTCATCTCCTGTACTATGTCCACAGTCCATTGGTTCAGAATATTTTCTTCCTGTTTTCCTCCTCTAAAACCTAGGTGCATGTTATGGTCAGGTGCGTCTTATGGAGCGAAAAATACAGTACATAAATACATTGTCAAACCTAAGGCTATCTGAGAGCAGGAGGGGTTATGTAGGGAATGTCCCTGCAGCCTTTTTTCTCTATCACCAGAAGGTAGCTGCATATAATACAGTGGTAGTGGCTACAGATCCTATGTCCCATACTGTGTGACTAAAAATAATTTAAACAAGCTAGGAAAATTTCCAAATGTCTACTGGCATCTACTTCCAAAGGACAATAATTAAAATGTTTGTATAGCCCTGGGGGGGAGGGGGTGTGCTCCCCTCTTTTGTAGTGGAAAAAAAAAAGCATACACCCGAGAGGCTATGCTATGCTTTCCTCCAAAAAAACAATTACTGACTGTAGACAGGCACACATATGCCTATGCAGTCTGACAGTGAGGTATGTGCAGTAACAAATATCAACCAGTCATAATTTATGTACACTTCTCTTAGAAAACATTTAGCCAATATAAAAGAATGTAATAATTGTATATTTAATATAAATATATGTACACTCATCCAATCACTTTGACATTTAATAAAGTTGGGAATATTCTCCACATTTTGTACACGCAATTCTTCATCAGGGTTTATGTCGATTTAACCAAACTTCAAAGTTGTTGAAACATGCTGAATTCATGTGAGGGATATTAAAATCACTTTCAGGAGTAATTATGCACACTTTGAAGTTTGTCAAACAATAAGCATCATTCATGGTACACAAATGCAAAGTCCCAGAATCCTTTGTGATTTTGAAGGCTGGTATTTCTCTGTATGCTCTTGTGGTTGATGTGTTTTACAAACCTCATTGTTTCTTTATCTCGATAAACCAAGGCCAGGCAATTGTTCTCTGGATAAACTGTAAGAAGCTGACACATAAATAGGCTAGTTAGTATGATTAGTAATAAGCCATCTTATCCATAGGCCATGCTTATTTTTTCATACAGAACAACATAAACTTATACATCTTTTAGTGAAATATTTTTTTTTTTTAAACACACAGTCTCACTAGGTATGATTGGTTACAATATAAGCTAGTGGTGGGTCAGCCTACTAGATATAGGGGGCCTTCAGTGCAGCCCCTGACATCCCTAAAGGGCCGTATATAATATTCAGTGAATGTAATACTACAACTTTCAGAGGGATGCTAACAGACTGTGAACATATCATAGAACAGTGGTTCTCAACCTTCCTAATGCCGTGACCCTTTAATACAGTTCCTCATGTTGTGGTGACCCCCAACCATAAAATTATTTACCCAGTAATTATAATTCATGAGTGTCGTTTAACCTCCAATACTGCTGCTTTCAACACAGTAGCTGCTTTTAACAGAGTAGCTGCTTTCAACACAGTAGCTGCTTTCTACACAGTAGCTGCTCTTTACACATCAGAAATATGTGTTTTCTGATGGTCTTAGGGAACCCCTGTGAAAGGGTCGTTCGACTCCCAAAGGGGTCGCGACCCACAGGTTGAGAACCACTGTCATAGAAGTTGTTGGGGGCTGGGAACATACAGGAGACAGTTTGTAGTCAGGAGACACCATCTTCCAGTAAAAGAAAAAAAATATAAAAGACACACAAAGATTATTTAATATATAAAAAGGTACATTTTAATAAACTAAAACATAATTGTGGTCCTAGTAACCAGCAGGTAACATATTGTAGCATTAATGGTTAAGCAACATCTTAGGCACCTTTTCTTCTCTCCCCAGCGCTTTGTTCAGCTGCCTGCAGTAATGAAATGCTCAGTACTTCTGGGTATAGGGAGTATGCTACTCAACCCCCTACTCCCAAATGACAGTTTGGTACCAAGTGATTGGTCATGAGGAAGGGAAGGGGACATGGGCAAACAAGAGGGTTCCTTAAAGGTTCACATAATACAGATGCAAAATACTGCTTGTGTTTAAATGTGAAACAAAAAAGCAAAATACAAAAGGCTAACACTTGAGAGGCACCTGTACTGAAACAATATGTAAGCCAAGTTAAAAAGTAAGCAAGTTAATAATCATCTGGTGGTTTCCAGTGGTGTCAATGGTTTCTAAGACACTGAAATGGGACAAATACACATATCAGAGGTTCTGACTTTCGACAGACTTCACTATCTGCAAGCTTATTCCAGTGATTTCGACTCATGTTATGCCCGTCAACTAGCATTTTCAGAAGGTCAGCAATGGCATACTTCTATCAGTATAAGTTTACTTTAATATGGTTTTCATAGTTTTGTTTACCTCTTCATCCTCCTCCTTAGCAATGTAAGATGTGAATCCTCCATACTGTGCCTCCCAATCTAAAACAAAAATGTCAGTAGTAGTCGTACATGTAACAATGAGAATGCTGGGGCTTTCTGCATTAATAGACCTAGTAGTAGCAGATATGTATATAAATCCATGAAAGGAAATAGTCATTACTGACCTTCACATCCACAGAACCACAAAAGATCCAAGGCAAACTCCTGTCTCTCGGGGTCATGGTCATGAATCAATGTGTAGTGCCCGTGTTCCCAGTGTCTCAGCTCTCCAGAGCATACAGGAACTCTCACACCTACAGAAAGGACAGACGTCTGTGTCAGTAAACTTTAGCCTAGCAATAGGTTATGACAGGATAAGATTGACAGATAGAGGAATATGGAACCATCATGCATTTTTAGTGTACACAACACCATATGATGTATTCTTATAAAGTCTATGGGAAAATAATTGTTATGTGACTGGCCTGTTGGAAAGCTTTATGTGCCATATGTTCAGGGATGTACAGTACTTTCACATTGCTGTCTGACAGCTTACTCACTACAATGAAATTTTGTTTTTACAGGCTAAGCCATTTGTACTGTGTGTAGCCTGGTGTTGCAAGACTCTAAAGCAGGGGTAGGCAACTGTAAAGGAGGTGGAGATCTACCTGAACAACATGGGAGAAGTCAAAGATCACCAGGCACTGTGTCACCTTCTCACACCTGATTTAAGCCTCTAATTGCCGTACTACCTTGTCACAATCACATGCATTGCACAGCAATCATGGGTTTAAATCAGATGGTGAGGAGGCAACATTTTGCCTTCTCCCCACTTGTCAAACACACTTGGATCGCTTTGCAGAGGAGCAGCACTGCCTGCTGCACTTGTGAATGAACCCTTGGTTGCATCTGGCAGCGGCAGGGGGTGTTTGTAAAACCCTGCGGTTGAGTCACAGTTTTACTGCCCCAAACCTCTACCCCCTTTAGCTGCTGAGGTAGCAGCCAAAGGTGTACAAATGCTGCAGCAGGAATTAGACTGTTGCTTTTAGTGGGTGCTACCACCTGTCAGTTGAGACCCATTCAAGTAAATGGGGCCTGTCAAGTTAAAGTGTCCCGTAACTGTATGCTTATGTGGAGTCCAAGGGGTTAAAGCAGGTGATGAGAAAGCAACACAACCCTGCCTCGTTAGCCCTTGTTTGTTATACTGCACAAGGTTACAGGGCACTTTCAGGGCAGCCTCATTCACTTGAATGGGTCATGCTTAGCAGGTGCTACACCCACCAACCATGACAGGGCACAGGAGCCAGCACAACAGAGGAGACATTGGCTCTTGCTCCCTACTACAGCTCCAAATTTACAAGTAGTCCCTCTGCACTGCACTGTTTGACGCTCTGGGATGGCGATTCGGCAAGCCCTGACTGTGATCTCACCTATTTGTGATCACGACCTACTGGTTGCTGACCCCCACTCTAAAGCCTAACTGCAACCTTGGGTTAAGAAAGCAGAGGGCAGCAAAAGGGATATGTGCACTTCTTAGGGGGACGTTTCCTTTAACGCGTGTTGATAGTTTTTTATTAGAATCAACTATAACAAAAACAATTTTTTGTAACCTTGTTGGAGACACCTTACTTTCTATCCCAGTGATTTCAAAAGAGGGATGAAGTATCCCCAACATAGACAGCGATAAAAATAGAAGTTCTAGACCTTCCCTAATTAAACATGATCACACACTGTGTCACCTAAAGAAGGCACTAAGGGAAGTGATTTTGTTTCTGCAAATTGCATCAGTGTTTTGGGTACAAGAGTATCCATTCGAGAAACAAATAATTTTCACAATGTGGTAATAGCTAATGATCCTTAACCAAATTCTAACCCTAAACTTACATATTAACATCAACATAACTTGTAAAAGGTAACAACCCAATCCTAGGAGTACAGTGAGTAGAGCCTGTGGGATTACAAGCCCCCATTGGGGATGTGCAAACAACAGGGTGGGCTCACAGAAAATAGAAAGAATGACATGACTGACGATCAGCCTGAAGAGGACTGTCAGCACTGCAGCAATGAAGAAGCCGAGGACTGTGCTGAATTGTGGCGCTGAAAGACATATCAAATACTCTGTCCCTGAGGGAACCCAGTGGCAGATAAAACAACAAAACCCTAAAGATTTGTTTTAACAATCAAAACACAATAGGGTTGATTTTTGTCAAAAAAAAAGATATATACTGCACATTTCAAGTGAAGTTGCTGTAGTGCTTAGTAAATGAGGTAAAGCTTCACTTTACAAAGAATACCCAATCACATGCAAAAAAAAAAAAAAACAGCATTTTTGCTTGCGCATGATTGGATGACAGAAATCAGCAGGGCTTCCACTCATATCTAGAGCAACTGCACTTGCAGTGCAGAATATTTGCCTTTACTAAAGCAACCCCAATGCAAGTTCTACTCACTTCCTGCCTGAGCAATAGAATCGCTGTCATCCCCTTGCGCAGAGGCCCTGCCATTCAGTTCTGAGGATCCCTCCTCTTCATCAGACTCTTCATCGTTGGCTGCCAGGAAGTGCAGCTTCAGACCAGTGAGGTTGGACATTAGCAGAAAGAAGGCCTCAGATTTTAGAAACTCCATGCAGGACCTCAGAATTTCCGGAAGCTCACCTTTTGCTCTTTCATAACACCTAAACCATATTCAGAGAGGTAAGAGGAAGCAGCAGGACGGGCACAGAAGCAGCAGGACAGGCACAGAAGCAGCAGGACAGGCACAGAAGCAGCAGGACGGGCACAGAAGCAGCAGGCCTAAAGTTTGGCACCTACCTTCTGTTGGGGGGACCCAGGAGCTCCCATTCAACACTCTGTGTTTCAAGTGCTGCAGAAACTGCATTAAACTTCTCTTCCTAGAAAATCAACACAAGGATATCTTAAAGTTCCTGACTAAAACTCACACACTACTTAGGCCTGGTTCACACCAATGCAGTGTGCTTTTGATCTGTTTTTGCATTGGGCTTTGCGTTTTTGACGCATTTTTCATTTTTTCAGCTTTTTTTTTTATGCCTTTTGTTAAAGGATAAATGTTTTTGTTGCTGGGCAGAATAAAACACACTACATTCATTTCAGCAGCATCTCCATTGAACTCTATTGTAGCAAAAACACTGCTTTTTAACCCCTTGGCGCCGGCACCTCCCGGCCCTTTAAGGGTTTCAGAAGCCGGGAGGTGGGGCGGGGTTTTAGGGTCATGTAACCGCCGTGATTCGCCGTCACATAATCGGGAAAGGTCCCAATCGAAAGAGGAGAGCGGGACCTTTCCGTGAGTACCTGGCATGTGTGCTGGGAGAGAGCAGGGCGCGTGCCTCTTAGCACATATGTTTTTCTTAATTGCACACAAATGTGCGGCTGCTCGGCGTCAAGGCCCAGACGCCGGGAAACCGCACATTTGCGTGCGGCCTGTGCCAAGAGGTTAAAGCGCCTGACCCTTTCCAAAAACACAGAAAAATACATAGATATGAACATGTCCCATAGGAAACCATGTTAAATGGACTGTAATGCGCTTCTGCAAAAAAAGCAATAAAGAAAAACTAATTGGTGTGAACCAGGCTTTAATCATGCTGACCCCACTGCTGTGATTGGGTGTTAAAGGGAAACTAAAATAATTTGAATTAAATGGGTTTTCTAAAGGGACAGCACAGTAGCAGATGTTTACTTTTAGACTCTCTCATCAACTAAATTTTCTTAGATAGACATCTTAAATCAATCATTTAATACATTTCAGCTTACTAAAGCTTTAGATGTGGTGGCTGTATTAGTTTTCTTTTTTTTTTACTTTCTTTTATTTTAACCTGGTGATCCAGCCAGTACATCTGTTTTTCAATAGAAAAACTTTTATTGCAGATGTAGCAGTTAGAGGGTTTAAATAAACCATTTAACACTGTTAGGGGCGCTTACAAGAGTCAGATTTCATTTATTTATGTAAAACCTTTATTCCAAAAGGAACAAAACTGTTGTCGTAACTGCTTGTAATGTGTTAGCTGGAGTTTGGCTTCAATTTGTTGCTTGCTGGTGCATTTTGTATACTTGTATTAAGGCAGGCTCTAACTTGCCCTTTTTGCACTACTCTGACAAAATCACTTGTGTATTAATAGCTTGAACTATTGATCTCTGTGAGCATTTTTTTTTCTCCAGAAGAACATATAAGGATAGCCTGAAAAAATATGAAAAGGAGCCTAGTGCTTCACGGATGGCGAATAAATTGATACAAAATATTCATATGCAATATTTTGTGATTACCAGACTTCCCTGCTGTCAGAATACATTGATCAGCACTACCGGCTACAGCTGGCGGCACTGATCTAGAGGCATTTATCCGACAGCCTGGTTGTACAGAGAAGTCAATCGTACAACCAGCCCTATCCACACATGGATCGAAATTTGTTCGGCTAGACTGGCCGAGTTTCAATCCATGTATGGCCGGCTTAAGTGTTTCTCACCACTTCTCAAAAAATGTACTTTGTAACTGTTGCTTCCAAAATCTAAATGTTCAAAGTCAAAATTTTTTCCAAGCTTTCTACTGGAAATATAGCAGGTAGGGTGTAGGACAAACCTTAAGAAAGTCCTTCAGGAGTATCTCAGATGTGTCTTCAAACTCCTCCTGAATTTGAGCCTGATACTCAACTGAGAGATAAACTGGATTTATCCACTCATACAAGATTTCATGCTGTGGAGACAGGCAAAGGTCAGCAGGCACATTATAAGCTTTCATTTACTGAATTAGGCAAAGATGAAAGAATCTTACATCACAGGGGATGTGGGGGCTGCGGACAGGCACCGGATCCAGGGAGCGTGGTGGTCTCTCCAGGGATGAACCATGAAACCAACCGCCTACTGACAGGCGGCATTTTCCCTCAGATAGAACCTCTGAAACCTTTTACGAGAGCAAAGCATATATTAAATTGACACATATGTATTAGAAGAAAAAAAAAAAAAAGACAGGACCACTTAAAGTACAGTGCTCAGCATAAATGAGTACACCCCAACAGATTTGTCAGAAAACCTTTACTTTCTTTTCAGAATCAATATTTTCTATGGGACACTATACTACAAAATACTCCCACAAATGCAGGCTCATTGATTGAAAACAAGATTTGTTAATTTACACACACAAAAAAAGTATTTTTCCTAACAAATTCATTCAAGACCATGTTGCAAAAATGAATACACCCCAATGGAAATCTTAGGAGCAAAGCTAAGTTTTAGACAACAAAATCCTAATTAACAAGAATTCAACTACAGGTGAGTAATTATTCATTACACAGATGTCCAGCAGACAGTTGATTATAAAAGGGTGTTACTCGAAGAAAATAGGAAACAGACACAACCTGCACTCCTCTATGGGCAGTCGGATGTAAATGGACCGCCTGTACATTTACACTTGACTGCCCTCTAATCTGATCCGTCTAGACCGAAGTGAACGGATCCTCAGCCGTCTGTTTTTACCGGATCAGATTGGATTGGATGTAGGCAGGTGTAAAACAGACACATGTCCGCTCCACAGAGAAGAATGGAGGATCTGATCGGGTCCGCCTGAAAGACGGACAGGCAGACCTAATCGGACCACTAGTGTGAAAGGGGACCAAGAGTGATGTTTTCTCACCCTTTTCAGTACCTCAGTATGTTTATGGTTGAGAAGATACACAGTGTGAACATATTTTGTACGTGTCTGCAACACAATTCTAAATATATAATAATTATAATGCATTTCTAAATGACTTGATCATATTTACTGTACTGGTAAATATTCAAATTCATAACATCTGCTTAATCTAGAAACATTGAAATATCTGCAAGTGATAACAGAACAGCAGTAATAAAAGAATGCCTGAGACTAATATGGCTCACTAATAATATCAGTAAGACATGAAAATTAAAGCATGCTACCTGCCATCGTACCTACCTGGTGGAAAGAGACTGGAGAGACCTCAAAGAAAACCAGCGTGTTCCAGGATGGAATCAATGACTTGACAATATGACCAGGCTGTGCCCTCTCTGTGAAGACAGAAAGGATAATATGAATGGAGGTCGTAAGACAGATTCTTACAAAGCATAAACTGGTACCAGAACTGTAATGCAAGGGCAATAAGAAAGGGATATCCAACACTGCAGTTATTATGCATTCTCTCAATGGATATTGGCAATCAGAACCTTTATGCTGCATTCTATCAGCTTAACCAATAGCCGCCCAGCCAATAGCCGTTTGGCGGCCGGCAAAATGCTGTAGATTTCCGGGTGGATGCCATATGGCGTACTCCTGGGCATGCGCAGTTTTTGCGCTTGCAGAGCCACGCAGCGGCGCGATCTGTCACCGGCCGTATACCTCAGACGCGGCCGATGACAGATCTGAGTACCGGCCCCCGTTGCCGGTACCATGTGACCTGCTGTGACCAATCAAAGCAGGTCACATGACAGTTGTATACAATGGATGGCTTCATTAGTGCCATCCATTGTATACTAGTGTCTATCTGTGAATGGTCACAGCGATAACATGCACATGTCATGTGATTAGCTGTGGCTAAATCACAGCTAAGCACAATAAAAAAAACACTGAATGAATCGATGTCATTCAAGTAAATGCTTGCTTATAGCAAAGTAATTCTTTGCTATAAGCAAATTGTGTAAAAAAAAAAAAAAAAATACTGATCACTTCCCCAAAGTAGTACAATGTTACTATGGTAACATTGTACTACTTTGGACATAGTGAAATATGAAAACAAATCTTAAAAAAAAAGAAAAAAATGTAAAAAAAATTAATAATAAAAAAAAAAATATATATATATATATATATAATATATATATATATATATATATATATATATTTTTTTTTTTTTTTTTGCATACTGTCACCAGTCAGTGTCCCTGATCACCGCCATGCCAGTTATATGATGACACTGTACTGCACTGGTGACAGTATGTAAAAAAAAAAATAGTGAAAATAATTTTTTTAATTTTTTCATTTTCCGAAAAAATTATGACAAAAAAAATACAACTTTAAAAAACTTGCCATGCCTCTTATGAAATACATCAGACTGTCTGCTTTGCAAAAAGGGGTCATTTTGGGGATATCTGTACTGTTCTGACATTCTTGGACCTCAAGAAATTAGAAAATTAGAAATTAGGCTGTCAGTACTTCAGGATTGATCAATTTTCAGATCTATACCATAGTTTGTGAACTCTATAACTTTCCTACAAACTAAAAAATACATCCTAATTTGGTTATTTTGACCAAAGACATGTAGCAGAATACATCTCGGCCTAAATTTATGAAGAACAATTATTTATTTGCAAACTTTTATAACAGAAACAAAGAAAAACGTGTTAATTTATTTAGCATGTTTATTGTTAATTTAGCAAAAAATGAAAACCCCAGCGATGATTAAATACCACCAAAAGAAAGCTCTAGTTGTGTGAAGAAAATGATAAAATTTTAGTTTGGGTACAATGTTGTATGACCGCACAATTGTCATTCAAAGTGTGAGAGCGCTGAAACCTGAAAAATGGCCTGGGAGGGAAGGGGTAAAAGTGCCCGGTATGGAAATGGTTAAAGTGGAACTGCACTGTATCTAAGCACCACAAACCAAATATGCTATTTAATTCATTGTTTATGTTCAAACCAAACTGCCCTATCCATCCGTGTCTCCGTGCTTTATTTTGCTGAGAATTCATTTTGAGAAACACCCTTTGGTATTTCTGGCTGTGGCCATCTTGAGTAAGAGCAAATGATTCATATACTGTAGCATTTACTTCCTGAAATCTATCTGCCCTTAGTTCAAGCATTGGTTGAGCTGAGAACCCTCCCTCCACTTCTGAAGACTCCAGGGATGTATGACCACATTTGCCTAGACATGGATATCAGGAAGTAACTGAAGAAATGTAAAAAAAAAAAAAAAAAATTTGAAAACTATATATATATATATATATATATATATATACATACATATACATACATATATATATATATATATATATATATATATAATATATACACACATATACACACACACTTTATAATATATATATAATATATACTTTCCTATCTATTTACTACTTTTAGCAACATAAGGATTAAAAATAGTCAATGTTGATTAAGGGAGTGAAGTTCTGCTTTAAAGATTTAATCACATATTGTCTGTAAATTTAATTTGTTTTTGCCCATAAAGTAATGCGGAATAAAGGGTGCATTTCAGATAGGACTTGCCATCAGTGCTGTAGAGGTCCAGGGATCCCCCATCTGCTTCTGTCCACTCTGGAACAAGATACAGGATAAAAGCAAATCTTCTCCCTTCCAGCTCATCATCATGACAGAGCAGAATATCTGACATCAGAGAAAAGATAAAAAATAGATTATAACGCAATAAACAAGAGGCAGAAGCGTAGCAATCATGGGAACGCTTATACAACTTTGTAGGTATAGTCCATCCAAGGTTAATTCCATTGTACATTAGCTGTAACACCTCACAGACTGAACAGTACGTGTACGAGGTCTGTCCAGAAAATATCCAGCCATGTAATATGAAAAATATTGAGACGTTTATTGAAGAAGGTACAAGATACATTGTACATAGGACCATGACTTTCAGCATGGATGGAGGCACCTCCCTTGCCGGCAATTATATTCTGACACAGTGTTTTTCAACCTTTTATATTTGTGGCACCCTTTAAAATGATGCATATTCTCAAGGCACCCCATTCTAAAATAAAAAAAAAAAACTAAAAGTGGTTCTAAAGGCTGTGTTTTTTTTCACACCCAAAAGCGGTAGTAAACCTTACCCATGAAAAAGAAAAAAAAAAAAGGTAATATAATGCACTAATATGTGATGCATACTAGCACAATATGGGAGACTTGCCTTAAAAAGAAGGCCTTCCAGTGGCATGCTGTCACCGCTAACAGGGCTTCTATCTTCCAGGTTTGCAGGCCCAGGTTGTTTGAATGGCCAAGACGCGATGACGTCATTCCCATTTATGCTCATGTCATTCAAGGGCTGTGAGGAGAAACCGGGGCGGGGGGGGGGGGTGTTGGGGACCAAGCCACTCTGTGCAAGTCTATAGAGGAGTACAGCTCCATAGACACACATAGCTCAGGAGTGAGCATGCCTTTGTGCCACCGTGACAAGCAGCTTTGCTATGGGGCACACAGAGAAGAGAGGAGCCTGGAACACCGGTGGAGGACCCTAGGAGAGGAGGTTTGGAGCTGGTCTGTGCAATGGTAAGTGTATCATGCTTGTTAGCTTAATAGAAATAAATATTGACCTTACAATCACTTACACTAATAGTTTTACATAACGCAGCAACATTCACACACGTAGGACATCCAATGTTAGGGGTGATTTATTTCTCCATCTTTGCACACTGCTACGGACTAGTATTCTAGCATCTCTCTTCTCCCTTAGTTTCTCTTTTTTATCTGTTAATGTGACCCCAGTGCTGATGGAGAGGGACACGGGAGGGGTAATCAAGAATGTGGTGCAGAAACCCAAATTTCTCCTTATCAATTGATGAGGTCATTGGCTGTCAGGATCATTGGCTGTGCAATTTTAGGCATTTTGCCAGGGACCCCTGAAGAATCCAGAAGGCACCCTGGTTGTAAAAGGCTGTTCTGACAGCTGATGCTTCTGCAACGGTCAGAACACCTGAACAGTGACTTCATCTGATTAGCTGCAGTCACGGTTGATCCAGGATTTTCGGATGAAAGATTGCCTGTGATGCTGACAGGGCCACTCACATATCCAATTTCGGCCAATGCAGCAGGAATCAGAGTGAGTGGTCAGCATTACCCTGAAAAAACATGAAGGTTGGAGGTGCCGCCTTTACTGGCTGCATAAATAATGAGAACACTGGTTTTCATTCTCAAATATTACTAAAATATTTTAAAGTACAAGTTGTAACATGGAGAAACGTGTATATAAGCAATGCACAGTGACTACACTGACTTTAACCACAAGCCTACAGGGCACTTATACCCCCTTCTTGCCCAGGCCAATTTCCAGCTTTCAGCGCTGTCGCATTTTGAATGACAATTGCGCGGTCATGCAACACTGTACCCATATGAAATTTTTATCATTTTTTTGTGACAGGTAGAGCGTTATTTTGGTGGTATTTAATCACCTCTGGGTTTTTTTTATTTTTTCTTAAACAAACCAAAAACCACTGAAAATTTTGAAAAAAAAAAAGTTTTTTCTTAGTTTTTGTTATAAAATTTTGTAAATAAGTGATTTTTGTCCTTCACCGATGTGCGCTAATGAGGCTGCAGTGATGGGCACTGATAGGCTGCACTGATGGACACTGATAGGTGGCACTGATGAGGAGGACTGGTAGGGCACTTAAGGGCATTGACAGGCATCACTGATGGGCACTGAAAGGCAGCACTGATACATGACACTGATATATGGCACTGTTAGGTGGCACTGACTGGCATTGATAGGTGGCACTGACTGGCATTGATAGGTGGCACTGACTGGCACTGATAGGTGGCACTGACTGGCACTGATAGGCAGCAATGATAGGTGGCACTGATTGGCATTGATGGATGACACTGAAAGGCAGCTCAGATGGGCACTGTTATGTGGCATTGATGTGGCACTGATAGGCACTGGCACTGATGGACTTTGACAGGTGGCACTGCTGGGGCTACACTGATCATCAGGGCACACTGATCATCAGTGCCCTGATGATCAGTGTACATGTCCCCTCCGCAGAAAGCCGATTACCGGTTCTCCTCTCCTCTCGAGCTGCCAGCGTGACAGCTTGAGAGGAGAGAAATGCCGATAACCGGCATTTCCGTGTTTACATGTGATCAGCTGTGATTGGACACAGCTGATCATATGACCGAGCCAACATCTTCGGCTCTTTCCGTGATCGGTGATCCGCTGTGTCGGAGGGACACAGTGCACCACCGATCGCCGCGCTGCGCGCTCCCTGAGCCGCGCATGCGCGGTGAGAATGGGAGGACGTCATATGACGTCCTCTCAGAACGAGAGAACTACCTTGTGCCCGTCATTGGACTATATGGCGGGCGGGAGGTGGTTTAAAAGGGACAATATTGATATAGTCTGCTACTGTGTCCCATACTAGAAGTGCATGACCCTTCATTTAGCAGTAAATTATTAGAGATCCAAACTGACCTACAGGCTTGCATTGAGGGAAGAGTAATAAAGCACAAACCACAGCAACTGGGGTACAAATAACCAAGAATCAAACAATGCCCTGCAGGAACAGAATTACAAATGCTATACATTTTTTTAATGGATATATTGATACCATTTTTATGGGAAGATTACCATATAGATTTTAAACTTTAAAGTATTTTTTTCTTGTTGACAGGTGGGCGGGATTAGAATCTGTCATATATGTATTGCTGTCTGTGTCCCTGTTAGAAGGATTTCTCTAGCTTCCTATCCCGTTGATCACATAGGACATGAGTGAAATGTGAGCACATGCAGAAAGACCTGGCAGAGGTTCTGACTTATCTGCTCTGCCCCCCCACCCAAAAAAAATAATAAATAAATGGTGGAGTCAGAATGTAAAAGGGCTAATAATTGCCTTTCAAGCAACTATCAGGCCTTATCAGCCTTGCTGAAGATGTGTAGCATTGTAAGCTGGATGTTTTCAGTCTTTGAATATGTGAGCCTTTGTGTGCCCCAATACCCTCCCACTATGTTTTAAAAGATAAGGTGCAGCCAACAATCCATAACATACCACGCACGTCACTACATTGTAAAGGCAGTTCAGGGGCTGGCAATGTCCCCATTTGACCAGGTTTGTTTTTATCAGATAATACAAATTATGGGGTATATTGAAAATCAAGTATTTCACACAAAAAAGGTATTGCATTAACACATGTTTTGCTATACACATGTTTATTCCCTTTGTATGTATTGGAACAAATATAAAACAGAGGCAGAAAAGCAAATATGACATAATGTTCACACAAAACCCCAAAAATGGGCTGGACAAAAGTATTGGCACCCTTAACTTAATATATTTGGTTGCACACCCTTTGGAAAACATAACTGAAATCAGTCGCTTCCTATAACCATCAATAAGCTTCTGACACCTCTCACCCGGAATTTTGGACCACTCTTCCTTTGCAAACAGCTCCAGGTCTCTCTTATTGGAAGGACACCTTTTCCCAACAGCAATTTTAAAGATCTCTCCACAGTGTGTTCAATGGGATTTAGATCTGGGACTCATTGACTGGCCACTTACAGAACTTATACCCCTTCTTGCCAGGCCAATTCCAGCTTTCAGCCTGTCGCATTTTGAATCAATTGCGCGGTGCTTTTTGAAATTGTTTTTTGGGGTCATTGTCCTGCTGGAAGATCCCAGGATCTTGGACAAACAAACCCAGCTTTCTGACACTGGGCCCTTTTCAGTGCGACCCAAAATCCTTTGGTAATCCTCAGATTTCTATGATGCCAGTGATGGCACACAGTCAAGGCACCCAGTGCCAGAGGCAGCAAAACAACCCAAAAACATCATTGAAGGCCTCCACCATATTTTACCGTAGGTACTGTGTTTATGTTCTTTAGTAGGCCTCATTGGTTTTGATAGTGGCACTGACTGGCATTGATAGGTGGCACTGACTGGCACTGATAGGCAGCAATGATAGGTGGCACTGATTGGCATTGATGGATGACACTGAAAGGCAGCTCAGATGGGCACTGTTATGTGGCATTGATGTGGCACTGATAGGCACTGGCACTGATGGACTTTGACAGGTGGCACTGCTGGGGCTACACTGATCATCAGGGCACACTGATCATCAGTGCCCTGATGATCAGTGTACATTTCCCCTCCGCGGAAAGCCGATTACCGGCTCTCCTCTCCTCTCGAGCTGCCAGAGTGACAGCTTGAGAGGAGAGAAATGCCGATAACCGGCATTTCCGTGTTTACATGTGATCAGCTGTGATTGGACACAGCTGATCATATGACCGAGCCAACATCTTCGGCTCTTTCCGTGATCGGTGATCCGCTTGTCGGAGGGACACAGTGCACCACCGATCTGCGCGCTCCCTGAGCCGCGCATGCGCGGTGAGAATGGGAGGACGTCATATGACGTCCTCTCAGAACGAGAGAACTACCTTGTGCCCGTCATTGGACTATATGGCGGGCGGGAGGTGGTTAAAAGGGACAATATTGATATAGTCTGCTACTGTGTCCCATACTAGAAGTGCATGACCCTTCATTTAGCAGTAAATTATTAGAGATCCAAACTGACCTACAGGCTTGCATTGAGGGAAGAGTAATAAAGCACAAACCACAGCAACTGGGGTACAAATAACCAAGAATCAAACAATGCCCTGCAGGAACAGAATTACAAATGCTATACATTTTTTTAATGGATATATTGATACCATTTTTATGGGAAGATTACCATATAGATTTTAAACTTTAAAGTATTTTTTTTCTTGTTGACAGGTGGGCGGGATTAGAATCTGTCATATATGTATTGCTGTCTGTGTCCCTGTTAGAAGGATTTCTCTAGCTTCCTATCCCGTTGATCACATAGGACATGAGTGAAATGTGAGCACATGCAGAAAGACCTGGCAGAGGTTCTGACTTATCTGCTCTGCCCCCCCACCCACCCAAAAAAAATAATAAATAAATGGTGGAGTCAGAATGTAAAAGGGCTAATAATTGCCTTTCAAGCAACTATCAGACCTTATCAGCCTTGCTGAAGATGTGTAGCATTGTAAGCTGATGTTTTCAGTCTTTGAATATGTGAGCCTTTGTGTGCCCCAATACCCTCCCACTATGTTTTAAAAGATAAGGTGCAGCCAACAATCCATAACATACCACGCACGTCACTACATTGTAAAGGCAGTTCAGGGGCTGGCAATGTCCCCATTTGACCAGGTTTGTTTTTATCAGATAATACAAATTATGGGGTATATATATATATATATATATATATATCTTTGTTTAGTGAAGAACATTCTTTTGCAGGTATATAAAAAAAAACCTAATTCTGTTTAACAAGCACTACTACATCAATTATAACTGACTGGTGACTTCATGTGTCCGTCTCATACCTGTGTAATTGTACTGAGCACATGATAGGTCTACAGTGGTCTCCAGCTCCACTTTCGTCACCTCTGACAGCCACTGTCGGAAATCCTCAAACAGAACTTTTCTAGAACATGGAGAAGACAGAAAAGAGATTGTTTTATGGCTGTTAGATCTAAGAATCATGCTTGAGACCATGAAGGAAAAAAAACACTAGTTATTCATGTCAGTATACTACACTTTTTTTCAATATTTCGTGTTTTGCTTTAATGAAAGAAAGAGTAGTGATACTGTCAATAAGGGTAACATAGCAACTTTCTTTTTTTAATACGGTGATTTGTCCGTTATTATAGAACCATTTTATTGGCGCCAGTAATACTAAAGAGACAGTTAGTTAAAAAAAACCACAGGTGTTATGAGTGCCATGTACAGACACCAGTGTTGGTCAGAAATACCCTGAGGCTAGGTTCAGACCTATGCAGTTTGCGTTTGATCCATTTCTGCAGTGCATTTTGGCACATGCGTTTTGTTCCCTTTTTTCTTTCTTGTTGCTAGGCAATTAAAACACAAAATGCATCAAATACGCGGCAACAACATGCTTTTCTGCAGCTTTTCCATTGAAGTCTTTAGAACCAAGAACGCAACGTGAATGTGTCCCATAGGAAATCATGTTAAATGGACTGTAGTGAATTTCTGCAAAACTCAAAACACTGCGGAAAACGCTTAGGTGTGAACCTAGCCTGAGTCTGCGTGGTATAGTTTTCTACAGTAAAACCTATACCAAAGTGTCATTCATTTTCCAAGGCACCCAACACACTGTTACAGCAGCAGGCAGCACACACACTCATAAGCACATCAAAAGGAAAAAAAAAAAAATTAAAGAAATAAAAACACGTTCAAATTCTCCTGCATCAAAGTGATTGTAAAGACAAAAAAAAATCTCATACTTACCTGCTCTGTGCAATGGTTTTGCACAAAGCACTCCTGATCCTCCTGTTCTCGAGTCCCCTGCTGTTGCATGTGGCCCATCCCTCCTGGCAAATGCCCCTTCAGCAAGCAGCTTGCTATGGGGGCACCTGAGCAGGCTTGCTCCCAAGCCACTGCTCTGTGTGTCCATTCACACACAGCCGCAGCAGCTCGGTCCTGCCCCCTCCTCATTAGCTCACTAGCTGTGATTGACAGTAACAGGAGCCAATGACTCCCACTGTTGTCTCAGCCAATGAGGAGAAAAAACCAGGACAGCTGAGGCTCGCGTGCACATCACCAGATTGAGAGGGGGCTCAAGGTAAGTATTAGGGGGGCTGGGGGATTCGCGGCACAAAGAAGACTTTTTTACCATCATGCATAGAATGCATGAAGGTAAAAAACGCTGCGTCTTTACAACCACTTCAAGGTATACAACCATCCCATTAATTTTAAATAAATGCAGTGCATACTGAGAATGGGTCCAAAGGAATTTGTCATGATAGAAATTTTGGCACTGCCACTAGTGCCTCATTTTCAAAGCTGCGGGTTCTAAGTCTGCCATCTAGGTCCTTGCTTTACTACTTGGTGAGTTACCGACCTGAACACGTAAGCAAGTAGAAATTGCCACTTTACTGGCGGTATACTCTCTTCAGCTCAGTATCCCACTAAGCAGTGAAAAAAGCATCAGGATGACAGTCCCAAAGCTGGACCCTCTGAAAATATGTCACAAGAGAGAGAGATGTGAATGAAAACACACTTAGAATAAATAAGTGAAAAATAGAGACAGATGTCTCCATTATGAGAGGTCAAGCTGTCTGATCAAAAATCATAGAGACATGCATGAGTGGGGCTTGACAAATTGCTTTGAATCTAGAAGCCAGCTAAAAAAGTTAGGAGCTAGTTTTTTTTAACTAACAAAGCTTTATTTTTAATGACAAAACCCCTTCTCTTATTTAGCCCTGATGTGTATCTTTACTGGTGCATGACACAGGTTTACACACAGTTTTGCCTCTCAGCTTTTTCCTATTAACCTTCTTAGGATCCCTAAGAACTCAGTACATTTAATATTGTAGGTTCAGCACATGCTGGGACTTGTAGTTCTATCACAGTCTGCAATGAGGCTACAGCACATGCTGGGACTTGTAGCTCTATCACAGTCTGCAATAGAGGTAAAGCACATGCTGGGACTTGCAGTTCTATCACAGTCTGCAATGAGGCTACAGCACATGCTGGGACTTGTAGTTCTATCACAGCCTGCAATGGAAGTATAGAACATGTTGTTACTTGTAGTTCTATCACAGACTGCGATGGAGGTACAGCACATGCTGGGACTTGTAGTTCTATCACAATCTGCGATGGAGGTACAGCAAATGCTGGGACTTGTAGTTCTATAACAGACTTCAATGGAAGTACAGCACATGCTGGGACTTGTAGTTCTATCACAGTCTGCGATGGAGGTACAGCACATGCAGGGACTTGTAGTTCTATCACAGACTGCGATGGAGGTATAGCACATGCAGGGAATTGTAGTTCTATCAGTCTGCAATGGAGGTACATCACATGCTGGGACTTGTAGTCACCCAGCAGCCCCTGCCCCCAGTGTACACACTCAGGCGGTATCCCTGTACCATTGGCAGAACACAACTGTGTATTGCCCCCTCATAAATGATATGACACTCCTCCAGCCCAATGTCCGAACGCCTGCCCAACCGTCTACCACCCACTCTAGCCCCGTCCCACCCCCCGGGGCCCCTCAGGTCTGCTCTATTACCTTGCTTCACTTGTCAGTGACTTCACCACAGACACCCAGGCAGAAGTGAGCACCAGGCCCTTTCACCCCCGCCACAACCAATCAACGCTCTGGCTACTCCAGACTGGCGGGCCGCTCAACCAATGGCCAGTGGGCAGGAGCTGACAGCAGCCTCAACACAAGGCTTGGAGCGTGTGAGGTGGTGTCAGCTTGGACTGTGTGATCCCAATGAATAGGCTGACAAAAGCCCAGGTGCCAGAACACAATTTCTAGTCACCATGTCGACCTGGCACCTGGGATTTGTTCAGTTCTATTCATAAGGTTTTGTATAATGCTTCTGGGCTCAGCTCATGAATGTACATACTTACTACCAACACCACAAAAGCTCCAGCCAATTCTCACCAACTGTCTATTCCTTATCACAGCATACAGCATGTAGGAAAAACATCAACTGTCATGTCTATATGTAGGAGACTCTGAAGCACAAGAGGTGTGAAGGGAAAAAAATGTACCACCAAATCTCTCTTACCTCAGGGCCCGAATGTGTGGTTCCTTTCTGCTCTTCAAATCCTCCGACTGTATAAAGAAATATATAACTATCAGCAGAGACTACTAATGTCATGGAGCAAAACAACACCGGAGAATCCTAATGAAATGTAATTTCTATCAACTCGGCAGTATACACCAATCAGCCATAACTTTATGACCACTATATCCTCCTGAAGAAGCGAGTATGTCACGAAACATATAGAGGACTCTCCGCATTCTCTTGCTCATACCCACTTGTGTTTGGAAGCTCATCCTGATGCTGGATGTTGCTACACAATATTTTGGAAATTTATGCTTCTGAATTGGAGCCTTATCATGGTTAGGATTTTATGGGGTTTTTTCTAATGTATGATTTTAAATATCATTGTAATAAAAATTAAGTTTTTTTTTATCTATATATGTGAACTTTTTATTCTTTGGGTACGGAAATAGTCTACTTGTATTTCCCCCCATTTTAATTTGAATAGTCAATGTTTGGATAATGGTGCCCCCTAGTGCTTACTTAGTTGTCTGCTCTGGCACTTGCTTCTTGTGATTTATGACCAATGACATAAATTCTAAGATTCTATTCTTTGCATTATACTTTAGAAGCTGGTTTGGTTTGCTACTGTTCCTCCATTACGACACCTGATAAACTAAGTATGGGGTTGTAGTTTGAAGTTTTGTAGATATATAACATTTGATGAATAGCTTATATTTCAACATAAAAAATGCGTTTTCTCTAGATAAGATATCATGTGTTTAGCTTCAGTGTTTAAGAATAAAACAGACAACACTTGTTCTATGCCAGGGGCCTCCAAACTTTCTAAAGAAAGGGTCAGTTTACCATCCTTAAGACTTCGGGGGGGGGGGGCGCTATACCCAGTGGAGTAAACAATGCCCAATCTTTGATATTAAGGGGAGAAATAGTTAGGTGTCAGTGGGAGAAATAGTGCCCATTTTTGTTGTCAGTGGCAGGAATTATGCCCCATTGTTGGTGTCAGTGGCAGGAATAATTTCTCAAGGGTGGGTAAAGCCAAGCAAAGGGCCAGTTTGGAGACCACTGTACTATGCAATGGAAGAGTCTCTGTCCATTGTTCTGTTTGTCCTTTAAACCCTTGGCCCTGGCGCCTCCTGACCCTTTAAGGGGTTGTAGATGCCGGGAGATAGTGCAGTGTTTCTAATCATGTGACCGCTGTGATTGGCTGTCACATGATCGGAAAGCACCCAATCACAAGTAGAGATCAGGAGCTTTTTGTTAGCCGTAACTGTGCTGGGAGCGCAAAGGGCGCGCACTTTTGGCACAGATCTGTTTCCCTTTAGGTACGCATATATGAGGCCTCTCAGCGTTAAGGCCCACACACCCAGAGGCTGCATATACAGTTGTGTTCAAAATAATAGCAGTGTGTTGAAAAAAGTGAATAAAGCTCAAAATCCTTCTAATAGCTTTTATTTCCATACACACAAATGCTTTGGGAACACTACACATTCTATTCCAAATCAAAACATGAAGAAAAATATATCAAATTTGTGTTGTTTCTCTAAAAATAATTGAAGAAAAGTGAATATTAGACTGTTCAAAAAAATAGCAGTGTTTGTATTCTTCTTTAAAAACTCAAACATTCACTATATAAACTGAAAAATGTTTGAAGATTTTGCTTTCCTTTGAATCACTTAATGAATATTTAGTTGTATAAGCACTGTTTCTGAGAACTGCTGTACATCTGTGTTGCATGGAGTCACCCAACTTCTGGCACCTGTGATCAGGTATTCCAGCCCAGGATGATTGGACTACATTCCACAGTTCTTCTCTATTTCTTGGTTTTGCCTCAGAAACTGCATTTTTGATGTCACCCCACAAGTTTTCTATTGGATTAAGATCCGGGGATTGGGCTGGCCACTCCATAACGTCAATCTTGTTGGTCTGGAACCAAGATGTTGCACGTTTACTGGTGTGTTTGGGGTCGTCGTTGTTTTGTTGGAACACCCATTTCAAGGGCATTTCCTCTTCAGCATAAGGCAGCATGACCTCTTCAAGTATTCTGATGTATTCAAACTGATCCATGATCCCTGGTATGCAATAAATAGGCCCAACACCGTAGTATGAGAAACATCCCCATATCATGATGCTTGCACCACCATGCTTCACTGTCTTCACAGTATACTGTGGCTTGAATTCAGTGTTTGGGGGATCGTCTGACAAACTGTCTCCGGCCACTAGACCCAAAAAGAACAATCTTACTTTCATCAGTCCACAAAATGTTGCGCCATTTCTCTTTAGGCCAGTCAATGTGCTCTTTGGCAAATTGTAACCTCTTCAGCACATGTCATTTTTCCAACAGTGGGACTTTGCGGGGGCTTCTTGCAGATAGCTTGGCTTCACATAGACGTCTTCTAATTGTAACAGTACTCACAGGGAACTTTACACCTTCTTTGATCTTCCTGGGGCTGATTGTTGGCTGAGTCCTTGCCATTTTGGCTATTCTTCTATCCATTCGAATGGTAGTTTTTCGCTTTCTTCCACGTCTTTCAGGTTTTGGTTGCCATTTTAAAGCATTTGCAATCATTTTGGCTGAGCAGCCTATCATTTTCTGCACTTCTTTATATGTTTTCCCCTCTCCAATCAACTTTTTAATCAAGGTACGCTGTTCTTCTGAACAATGTCTGGAACGATCCATTTTCCTCAGAATTTCATTGCACTGTAACCAGCATGCACAACATTTGCTGCCTTCCTTCCTTAAAATAAGGGCAATAATTGCCACCTGTTTTTCAAAGAATGAATGACCTCACTAATAGAACTCCACACTGCTATTATTTTGAACATGTCCCTTTCAATTCGTGATTCAATTACACAGAATCAGCAGCATGCATGTCATGACTGTTGGGTCTGTTGGATTTCTATTACTCTACTACACCTGCTAGTAAATTATTTGCCATGAAGAAATATAATTTCTACTAAAAACATTGATTGATCCGGTTAGTGATGTCTGACTGCTATTATTTTGAACACAAATGTATGTGTACTGCCAGCAGGAAAGAGTTAAAGTGACACTAAACTGTTTTTTAAATCTATTCAAGCATGATTTAACTCAACAAAAATATCTTCTGTTGCTCTCAGCCTTCAATTTCCTTTTTTTGCTCCAGTGATCCAGCTTCCAGTTACAATGTGACTACCTACATTCTCTATTCATTCTCTGTCTATTCTCACTGCATGTAGGAGTGTAGCCACCCTCTCTTGCTTTACAGATGGACTATAAGTAGGATGCATTGAGCAGTGCACATGACAGCAGCTAATGTGAACTGTTTGATCTAAATAAAAAGAGGAGGGAAAAGGAGAGGATCGGAAGTTCATGGAGGACATTACAGAGAGGCAGATAAATAAAGTAAGAAACAATTTCATGAAAAATAGATTACATGGCCATTAGTGGATGTGTCTATACTGTATTATACACTGCTCAAAAAAAATGAAAGGAAACCTTTTTAACCACATGCTAACCGCGCTATAGCCAAATGACAGCTACAGCGCAGTTGTCCAGTTCTGGGAGGGCGTCACATGGCATTCTCCCAAAACACGCCCCCCGTGCGCCCCTAGTGGCGTGCACCTGGCAATCTCTGTGTCCTACAGAGACACAGCTGATCACGTGATGAGGTAAAAGGCCAATCACAACGGCCTTTTACCACATGATCAGCTGTGTCCAATGACACAGCAGATCACCGAGTAAATAGTTGCCGGTTATCGGCTGCACTTTGACAGCGTGAGGAAGGTACAACTGATAACTGGCAACTGTCACAGGGCAGATCGGCACTGATGATCAGTGCCCAGCTGTGCCACCCAGTGCCCCCAGTCAGCGCTGCCTATCAGTGCCCATCATTGCTGCACATCAGTGCCTACTTATTAATGTCCACCAGTGCCGCCTCATCAGTGCCACTTCAGCCTATCAGTGCCCATCAGTGCTGCCTATTTGTGCCAGCTCATCGGTGCCCATCAGTGCTGCCTATCAGTGCAGCGTCATCAACCCACATCAGTGAAGGAGAAAAATTACCTGTTTGCGAAAATATATAATAGAAACAAAGAAAAACTTATCTTTTCAAATGTTTTGCACTTTTTTTGCTTATAGTGCAAAAAATTAAAAAAGCCCAGTGGCGATTAATTACCACCAAAAGAAAGCTCTATTTGTGTGAAAAAAAATTATAAAACTTTCATATGGGTACAGTGTTGCAATTGTCATTCAAATTGTGAGAGTGCTGAAAGGTGAAAATTGGCCTGGACACGAAGGGGGTAAAAATGCCCAGTAGGCAAGTGGTTTACCAGAGTATAGCAACAAGTCAATGAAACTCCTGGGATATTGACCTGGTAAGGCAAGTAGCAGAGGGGGTTGTTAATCAGTTTCAGCTGCTTTGGTGTTAATGAAATTAACAGGTGCACTAGATGAGCAACAATGAGATGACCCCCAAAACAGGAATGGTTTTACAGGTGGAGGCCAGTTACATTTTTTTTCCCTACTCATCTTTTTTGACTGTTTTTTTCACTAGTTTTGCATTTGGGTAGGGTCAGTGTCATTACTGGTAGCATGAGGCCATACCTGGACCCTACAGAGGTTGCATAGGCAGTCCAACTCCTCCAGGATGGCACGTCAATACGTGCCATTGCCAGAAGGTTTGCTGTGTCTCCTAGCAGACTCAAAAGCATGGAGGAGAGCTGAGCCAGTCCGCCTCTGCACTGGTGTGAATGTCTTTGACCAAACAATCAGAAACAGACTTCATGAGGGTGGCCTGAGGGCCCGATGTTCTCTAGTGGGCCCCATGCTCACTGCCCAGCATCATAGCGCTCGACTGGCATTTGCCCTTAAACACCAGAGTTGGCAGGTCCACCACCGGCGCCCTGTGCTTTTCACAGATGACAGCAGCTTCACCCTGAGCACATGTGACAGACAGGAAAGGGTCTGGAGAAGACATGGAGAACATTATGCTGCCTGTAAATTCGTTCAGCATGACTGTTTTGGTGGTGGGTCAGTGATGGTCTGGGGATGCATATCCATGGAGGGACGCACAGACCTCTACAGGCTAGACAATGGCACCCTGACTACCATTAGGTATCGGGATGAAATCCTTGGACCCATTGTCAGACCCTACGCTGGTGCAGTGGGTCCTGGGTTCCTCCTGGTGCAAAAACAATGTCCGGCCTCATGTAGCGAGAGTATGCAGGAAGTTCCTGGAGGATGAAGGAATTAATACCATTGAATGGCCCCCACGCTCGCCTGACCTTAATCCAATAGAACATCTCTGGGATGTCATGTTTCGGTCCATCTGATGCCACCAGGTTGCACCTCAGACTGTCCAGGAGCTCAGTGATGCCCTGGTCCAGATCTGGGAGGAAATACCCCAGGACACCATCCGTCATCTCATTAGGAGCCGCCCCCGATGTTGTCAGGCATGTATACAAGCACGTGGGGGGCCATACAAACTACTGAGGACCATTCTGAGTTGCTGCAATGAAATATCAGCAAAATGGACTAGCCTGCTGCATCATTTTTCACTTTGATTCGTCTTTGAATTCAGTCCTCTGTAGGTCGATCATTTTCATTTCCATCAAACGATGGAGCACCCTTACATTCCTAACACATTACCCCGTCCATATCAGTATAGAGATCCAGCATGAGATTTTCCCCATTGAGATCTGATGTGTATTCATAGTGTTCAATTTTTTTGAGCAGTGTATTTACAGAATAGGGATGTTGCTTGGTGTCCCTCTAATTTTGTGCCTAGCCTCTGCATTTTCCTGCTTTTCTTCTCACCCAGCGTGCTGTCCTACCTGCTGATATTTGTACAAGTCATTGGATTTGTCATGGAAATTCAAGGCCAATAGTTCATCTTTCAGCCCATCCAGGAACTCGGAGTTTTCAATGAAAGAACGGATGACACAGTGCTGGAAGGGGACAGAATCCAGAAGAACAGAGCCTGCAGAGGAGCACAAATGAAGAGGATGTAAAGCCTGGACAACATGCACCCCCTCAGGGGCACGACTCCCCAACCTGACTCCACCCCACCCCCTCAGTCCCCCCACTTGACTCCACCCCCCTCAGGGGCTCCACTCCACCCCCCTCAGGGGCACAACTCTCCACCCCCCGTCCACTCACCTGACTCCACCCCCCTCATGCCACTCACCCCCCTCTGGGGCCCTGCTCCCCCACCTGACTCCACCCCCACAGGGGCTCCACCGACTCCCCAACCTGACTCCACCCTGTCACCTGACACCCACCACCCTCAGGGGCTCCACTCCACCCCCCTCAGGGGCCCCTGCTCCCCCACCTGACTCCACCCCCTCAGGGGCTCCGACCCCACCCCCTCAGGGGCACGACTCCCCAACCTGACTCCACCCTCCTCAAGGGCTCCACTAGACCCCCCTTAGGGGCCCTGCTCCCCCACCTGACTCCACCCCCTCAGGGGCACAACTCCCCAACCTGACTCCAAACCGTCCCCCTCAGTCCACCCACATGACTCCACCCCCCTCAGGGGCTGTGCTCCCCCTGACTCCACCCCATAGGGGCTCGACTCCATCCCCTCAGGGGCACAACTCCACCCCATCCCGCTCAGGGGTCTCCGCACCCCCCACCTGACTCCACCCCCTTAGGGGGGCTCCACACCCCCACCTGACTCCCCCCCTCAGGGGCTCCACTGACTGCTCCCCTACATGACTCCTCCCTCTCTGAGGGGTCTGCTCCCCCTCCTGACTCCACCCCCTGAGATGGCTCCGCTCCCCCACCGCACTTCCTCAGTCCTCCCCACGTGCCCCCCTCACTCACCACACTGCGCAGTCTCCCGGCTCTCCCAGGCTCTGCTCACCTCCTCTCGACCAGTTTTCTCCCCCAGTGACACTGACAGCTCAGCCCTCACCGGCCCCCTGGCCTTCTTCCCCCCACTCCCCCCTTCCCCTCTCTGCCTCCTCTTCCCACTCATTCCTCCACTCTTCTAACTTTAGAACTACACTTCCCAGAACTCCCCGCACTGCGGCGCATTCTGATGACTCGCCTCTCCCCGCTACCGGACGTGACATCCCGCTCTTTCCGCTTCAACATTGTCGGGGCTGTGAGCGCTCGAAACTCGGAGAAGAGGCGGCACAGGGGCCCAGACAGCAGCTCTCCACCCCGACCAGCATGTCGGTGATTCCGCCGAACCGCTCGCAGACAGGCTGGCCCAGAGGGGTGAACCAGTTCGGGAACAAGTACCTGCCTCAGACAAAGCCACTCACCCTGGAGCGGACCATTAACCTGTGAGCCGGGGGGAGGGGAGGGCGCAGTGCAGCGCCTTATTATTCCTGTGTATGTGGAGGAGAGGATGGAAAGGGCCGGACATGTGCGGAGGAGGACGGCCTCGGAGCCAACCTCGCCCCACACAATGGCCTCTACTCCCAGATCCCAGGGGGAGGAGGAGGCGGCAGTGTATGTATGGCCGACATCTGTAGTCATGGATGGAGAAGGGGAGAGGTTTATCTCTGACAGGGCTTTGCTGGTTGTGTACCACTGGGGAAATTTATCCTCACTTCCTGTCCCTGAAACAACAGGAAGTCAGAGGAAATCTCCCAAAGTGAGAGGAATTCCCCTCCTAGGGCTCAACCATACGGCAGAGAAAATGCTGCGCTTAGATGAGTACAGCGAATAGATCTGTGTGCATCTAAACCCAGCACTGTAGTGATCAATCAGCCCATACACAGCAGTGTCTAGAGGTGACAATGTGCAGCAAAAATAAGCCACAGCAGCGGGTTTGGCAGACCTGCGGGTTTGGCTAGACCTGCGGGTTTGGCTCCCGTAGACCTGCGGGTTTTGGCTCCCGTAGACCTTTGGTTTGGCTCCCGTAGACCTGCGGGTTTGGCTCCCGTAGACCTGCGGGTTTGGCTCCCGTACCTGCGTAGATCTGCAGATTCTACATGTGTACGCAAGTACCATGGGTGCATATTTTACACAGGATCGTCTAGCTCGGCCAGCAAGTACTTTTTTTTTTCATTCAGAAAATATGCATTAGCCCATATGAACGAGCACTTAGGCTCACCATAAACAATACAATCTGACCATTTAATCATTTACAATCTAATTTACTAAAATGATGGACTATGAGGACCTACCTAATCCACCCAACCAATTTGTGCCCAATCAGGAAGGCCCTTGTGCTACATAAGTGTTTGTACAATCTTTTTTTTTTTTTTTTAGATCTACCGTCAGATTGCAACATTTGGGGTAAGCTTTAGAGCAGGGGTGTCAAACTGGCGGCCCTCCAGCTGTTATGAAACTACAAATCCCATCATGCCTCTGCCTTTGGGAGTCATGCTTGTAACTGTCAGTCTTGCAATGCCTCATGGGACTTGTAGTTTGGCAACAGCTGTAGGGCTGCCAGTTTGACACCTGTGCTTTAGACAGTTGTCCCTGGAACAGACAACCTCATTGGATAATTGATCCTAGGGTCAACACTAAGATTTTGGATTTCCTCTCGCTTTCTTGTTAGTAATGGTCACCAATACAAGTAGAGGTAAATATCTCCATTGGGGCCACAGACCGCAATAAAACACAACTTCGCCCTACTGTGTCTAAATTAAATAAAAACTACCTAGAGATACATTTTAAATCTCTGGTCTGTTTTTTATTTCTGTCTGTGACCCCATTGGGACATTTTCCCTCACTTCCTGCCTCTGACTCCCACATAGAAGTGGGTTATCCCTGGACATAGGAAATGGGAGATGTGGCCATCAGAAGGCAACACTCTAAAAGGGAAGTGTGGTCTTCCCTGGGACATACAGGAAATGGGAGGTGCAGTCATCTCCCAGACACAGGAAATGGGAGGTGTGGTCATTCCTGGGTCATACAGGAAATGGGAGGTGTGGTCATTCCTGGGTCATACAGGAAATGGGAGGTGTGGTCATTCCTGGGTCATACAGGAAATGGGAGGTGTGGTCATTCCTGGGTCATACAGGAAATGGGAGGTGTGGTCATTCCTGGGTCATACAGGAAATGGGAGATGTGGTCATTCCTGGGTCATACAGGAAATGGGAGGTGTGGTCATTCCTGGGTCATACAGGAAATGGGAGGTGTGGTCATTCCTGGGTCATACAGGAAATGGGAGGTGTGGTCATTCCTGGGTCATACAGGAAATGGGAGGTGTGCTCATTCCTGGATCATACAGGAAATGGGAGGTGTGGTCATTCCTGGGTCATACAGGAAAATGGGAGGTGTGGTCATTCCTGGGTCATACAGGAAATGGGAGGTGTGGTCATTCCTGGGTCATACAGGAAATGGGAGGTGTGGTCATTCCTGGGTCATACAGGAAATGGGAGGTGTGGTCATCCAAAGACCACATAGTAAAAGAGAAGTGTGTCTTCCTTGGGACATATAGGAAATAAAAGGTGTGGTTATTCCCAGGGCATACAGGAAATGGGAGGTGCGGTCAGCTCTGGAAACAAAAAATTGGAGGTGAGGTCATTGGAAGGTCACACAAAAAAAGGAGGTGTGGCTATCCCAGGGACATACAGGAAATGGGAGGTGCAATCATCGCCCAGACACAGGAAATGGGAGGTGTGGTTATCCCATAGATATACAGAAAATGGGAGGTGTGGTTATCCCCAACCAGGAAGGCACAGATAGCAATAAAAAAAAATGTTTTAAGCTACCGGCTCTAATAAAAAAGCATTATTTTTTTTTGGTGAGCTCTTCTTTAACTTCTGTCCTGGCAGGAAACAAGGGAAAATCTCACCAATGAGAACACAGAATAAATACCTATTAGAGGCTCTAACCCTTCCCCACTTTGTTCAGAATAGACAAAAGGTTTTGTCCAGAGTTGACGCTGAATTCTGGACTGCGGACAGTTGTCTTTGCAGTGATGACTCCTCTGCATTGTGGGGAATAACCGCTTTCTTGCCTGAGGGATGAAGAAGGAGGTGATGTACTTAACCTGTTGCTTGCTCCCTCAGTAGCTAACGCTCTCCTGCTGTTTGATGCATCAGGGATGTGTTTTCAGCTATTCCAACCCCCTAGACAAAAGCGCATCTAAAAAGTTCACCTTTAATACTTTTTCAATGAAAGACCATACCTTCTCTTTCGCAGCAGAGCAGAGTGCACATGCATGGGTGGGGAATGAGGCCAAGTGCTCGATCATGCAGTGTAGGGGCCACGCATCTTAGGCAAGACAGAGAGGGGAGGCCAGTCAGAGATGAGTGCTGTCAATTAGACCCTTTATTACGTATTCATCTCTTTTTAAGAAGTGTGGTTGTACAGAAGTGTGTGTGTGGGGGATACATCATCCATCCAGGCTAAGTGACTACAGCATTGATACCTGGGGGGTGGATTAAGCTCAAACATTTAGAATGTAGTGATATTTTTCTTTGTGCTTTGAACATTTTTTTAATGGGCCTGGAGGCATGGGGCTTGGTCCCAGGCCATTCAGTGAAACTGTTATTTTGCCTTAGGCCTGTTAGGTGGTGGTGACATCACTTTGACACTTGTGGTTTCTGTACATCAGGTATATCATATGGTATTTTGAGATTCTGGTGAAATGTCTGTGTTTTATCTCTTCTTATGGTACCTTTTGTATTTTCAGATATCCTCTTACAAATTATACTTTTGGTACTAAGGAGCCTTTATATGAGAAGGATAGCTCTGTGGCGGCCCGGTTCCAGCGGATGCGGGAAGAGTTTGATAAGATTGGAATGAGGCGCACAGTGGAAGGAGTTCTGATCGTTCATGAACATCGGCTTCCCCATGTCCTCCTACTGCAACTGGGAACCACATTTTTTAAGCTGTGAGTTGGGCTACCAGAATTTGTTTTACATTGTACGTTTCTCAGTGACACTGTAAAGTTGGTGTAGTGTCGCTTACTAGTCACATTAGTTTGGAACTGTAGAAATACTTTATGAATGAGCTAATAAGAAAAGAATGTTTATTGGTTAGAATCAGGGTGGATAAAAATCAATGATTTTTTTAAAAAAATCAAAAAAAATCGGATTTTTTTTATTTAAATCGGATTTTTTTAAATAAAATGCTTTTTGAGGAAAATATATTACCATCCAAAGGTTATTCCATCATGAAATAAAGATTAGTTTTTTAATTATGTAGAATAAGGCTGTATATGTTTAATTTTTTTGGTAAATAAATTCCATGAATCCATTCACAATGTCATGCTCTTCCAGAGGTTTTTGTAAGATTATTGGGCAGTTTCTCTGCCTACAAGATATTATCACAGATGATTGGTTTACTTTTGCAGTTCTCAAAACTGAATTTGACTCAGCGGAGATCACATGCCTCTTCTTCACAGCAAAAATGTTATAACATGAACAGAGTTAACAAAAAGACCTTAATCCTAACTTCTACAAACCTATGAATACAGAATCAACCCCTTCAGTGCCAAGTTTCAAGAAGTTCAGTGAATAGAATAGAAACAATATTTTTCTGATTGTTTGGAGTGGAATAGATCTGCACAAGAAGAAAGTGAAACTAAGTGTGAGGAGGAAGGGGCTGACAGTCTAAGTTTCTTAAAATATATATATTTTGTTTAGCCAAATTAGTTAACAAACATGGATGTTTAAGCAAATACCATATGCTGTAATGTTATTGTTTCAGTTGAATAAATCTATTTAAATTGTTATTATTAAGGTAATGATTATTTTTCTCCTTCCTAAGTACAACAGAAAAAAGTTGTCCAAATATGAATGATTAACCTATTAAACTGGGGATAAAAAAACGAATATGAAAAGTTGTTATTCTAAAAATCTTCATCTACTTGCATATTAAAGTTATACCAGCAAGAATTAGTCTTTATGTAGAAAACTAGGATTTAAATCAAGCCTTACTGACTAGTGATTTAAATCGTGATTTAAATCAGTTTGATTTAAATCAAATCCACCCTGGTTAGAACTGCCCTCCTCATCCTTCTTGGCATTAGTTCAGATTTTCAATGAAAAGTTTTATTTCAGGTGGAATACCTATGTAGTACACATTAGTCTGGGTTCATTTTGTTGCTTGGCATTCATATTGGCACGCCAACGCAATTGCATTGCAGTGCACTGCAACATACAGTATCACACTTCCATGTATCTTGGTGCACTGCATTACAAATAGTGCATTCAGTTTTTTTGGTGCATTAGCCCATTCGAATGAATGGGCTGCTGTAATGCAACAGATATTAATGTCATACATTATCTAAGGCATTAACAACGTGAACCAGTCTTAAATCTTTATCTCCTTTTCATAACTAACTGGGTATCGTATTGGGTATTCACAAGGAGTGTTGCCAAAATGGGGGGGGACTGTAGATGAAGCCTATGTTAGCTTACAAGCAGATGAGGTTGATCCTTGTGGTGTGCACCTCCTCATTTTGCTATTTGGTATGCACAAGCTGATTACATAAACCTCCGTGGGCTGCAGGAACCTTCAGTAAAAGGACAGTTCCATGCAACCCTCTAGTCATCTACACATTCTAGGAGGATGAACTATTCTGCGTTCTCCCCTGCAGACTATTCCTCAGATGCAGACCTGAGGCGAGCCTTCTTCTCCAGGTTTATTCTGGCGAGGGTCTCATGTCGGCCGGCGGCCCCGTTTTCCAGAAATGACCATTCCAATACAGCCCATGTTGGTGAGAAGTATCATTATCATGGATAACTGCAATATTGTAACCAGCCAGGTGGAAAGAAGAGATATAGAACCACCATCCTATGTTGTCTTTCACCTGGTGTAAGGAAACATAGCACTATCTTCCTAGATGAACTGCTCTTTCGCATAGTAGAGTACCCCATGTTTAGGCCTCCTGGAGTGCTCCAGAAGAAAATGAACAAACCTGGCAGTTGTGTAATATTAATATCGCCACAGGTTTGCCCTATCACTAGTTTACATTTTGTGAACTGCTAACATTCGGTTTCAGCATATTCCTCTTATTTTGTTTGCAGGCCGGGAGGTGAACTGAATCCAGGGGAAGATGAAGTGGAAGGGTTGAAACGACTCATGACAGAAGTATGTCATCATTTTAAAGCACTTGTTCAGTGTTGGCAGCAAACGTAGACTGTGAATACATACAAAGGTCAAAGCCTAGCAGCCCACAATCAAAAATCCAAATGCTATGATTTCATAGGCGAGAGATTTCCACTTTGAATTCCTGGGAGATATTTACATACAAAATTGAAAGTGATTGTTAGGGCATATATATTTAAAAACAAAAAAAAGGACATGTTACACTTACCCGCTCTGTGCAATAGTATTGCGCAGAGTGCTTCCCAAACCTCCTCTTCTGGGGTCCCCCTTTGGCGCTCTTTGCTCCCCTTCTTCTCATGCGTACCCGCCGACTCCTTCCTGAGCCAGGCTGTGTGCATCTATTGACACACACAATCTGATTCGTCCTTTCCTCTCCTCACAGCTTTTGATTAACAACGGCAGGAGCCAATTGCTCTTGTTGTCTCCGAGCCTGCGAAAGGGGGGTGAGAGAACCAGCACTGCTGCAGATGGATACAGTGATGGAGCAATCAGAACTTGACTAAATATGTGGGAGGGAGGTGCTCTGGGTGGGGGCAACTAGTGGAAGATTTTCTTACCTAAATGCAGCTAATGCATTAAGGTAAAAACATTCTGGCTTCCGAACCTCTTTAGCGAGTCATGCAATAGACCCTGTTATGTCCTTTCAGCAACTAGAAAAGGATTTCAGCTTAACCAGGTACTTTACTTACAGCTACACCACTTACTGCTTTCTTAAGCAAAACAATAAAAATTCCTCCTGCACTGCCAATGCTAAAAACAGAACTGGGTGGCTGCTAACACCTGCCTATAATGCCAGTAGTGTCAGGTGAATAAAAAAAAATGATGCTGCGCAAATAAAAAACTCGTGATAAATGGAGTGAGCAAGAAAACAAATAAAATGAACGTAGGTTGTTAAATCACATGACACATGAAAAATGATCATGATCCAAAATAGGAAATATAAAAAATGTATATAATAGTTAAAATTAATCACTCAAAAAACAAAAGTGTAAACAAAGTGACGTGAACAACAATGAATAAAAGGGTACCATAGAGATCATAAATTCATGAAGAATATATAAGTAAATGTGAAAAATGCCATAATAAAGTGCATAGTCCCAAAGAATCTGTGGATCTTCAAAAAAAGCCGTGGAACATCCAGTGATCACAACAAATCCTCCACCACCTAGCGTGCGCGCTCACCTACAGGTTGTGACCTGCAAGGGGTCATAGGGCTACAAAAAAGGCACTCATCTGATGATACCCCTTCGGTAATAATCAGGGCATTCCTCTATAATGGCGATGGTAGAAACTCATCAGCGTACCACTGTAGAAGTCCCCACATGGATATGGCCAAAACTCTCTCCTCTATCACAAGCTGAAGAGAAATGGTGCAAGGTTTCATCCACATAGAATAATGTATTCTAATCGCCTGTTGACATGTATCTGCTGTACTATGATACTATGTGCCCTGAATGCTGTGCTCATCTATTCATCTTGCATAGAGCTCTGTTCACAGAGACTTTTACATGTCAACAGGTGATTGGAATACAGATGCATCTTTGTAGATTGGTTTCATCTGGCTTTTTTCCCCCTTAGAATGTCCAGTTAGCATTTTTGGGAAAAAAAGTTCAATGTAACAGCCTGCATATTGTTGGAACTATTCTGTGCTTGCAGAATTAAACTGTAGAGCCTGAACTTGTCATCTCTGCATAATGTAACATGGGCCTGCTGGAAGCTATTTTTTTTCTTTGTTTTAATTTCATGATTTCTGAACAAAGACTAGCATCACACATTCTCAGTTTCTTATGGGATGCTTTCCCAGGCTTTTAATTTGGGGGGTATGGTTGAACTAGACAGTCATTTATAAAGCGCCAATAGTTCACTCAGTGCTGTACATTACAAAGGGGGACAGAACATGTGACAGAACAATACCAATACAATGCAAAACATGAGGGGATCGAGGTAAGGAATGATCACGGTACCAATTTGCTAGATTAATTGAAGAGTCCGTGTCTCGACCGAACAAAAGACAAAACTGTTCACAATTATTTTTTTTTTTTTTTCCATGAACATCTGGAAAGGAGTTCGTATTAATATTTACATTGCTTATGGTACTATTATTTGATAGAATTATTTTAATCAAATCTGTCAATTGTGTTATTATTGTATGAGGTAAATACTTGCTTGATTAAGTAGTTTGGGTTTTCTATTACTTTGTTCAATCTCTCTCATATATACACACAATCTTCTCTGTATTGGTTTTAGTAATTAATACAAATTGGTATATATTATGGATGGATACATATTGGTATATATATATTTTGAATATTATGTTTTCAACATTATAAATAATTATTTTGAGTTTATTATATTACAACATCTGTATGCAAAGGAAGAATTTTAGAGTAAAAAAATTTTCAGTGCAAATGACCTCAGTGAATGTCTAAGATTGTAGATAGAAATTTGAATCATTTAGTAAAGGAAATGACATTTCGAATGATCTCATAATTAGGTGAGATAACCTTTGCCCGCCTAAGTCTTTTGGGGGATAAAAATTAGGAGATAGTTGGAGCATGGGGAGAGACATGCAAAGGAAAGAGAAAAAGATGGGCGACAACGGACACACACACATTCTCTTTGGAATATCCCCGAAGCTGATTTCAGCTTCTAGTCAAGGGTTTAGTTGGGTATATATCACAAAGTGGACAACTTAGTGGAATATTTATTTTTTGACCTCAGATTCTAAGCTTATTGGATTGTCCTGTGTATGGTATTTTAAATCAGTTCATGACAATGTGAACTTTGAGCTTTGAATATCTGGTTGTAGGGAGATCATGTGGTCAATTTGCATAGTCTTTGTCATGTTCTGCTGAGTTACTGGTAGTTTCCTATGCTACATTTCTAGACAGTTGGCCCTATTTCATTAATATTTGATAATATTGCTGGTTTGAATTTTTAACTATTAATTTTGATTAGATAATTGAACTGTTATTTTGATTGCTTATCATCAACAGTTATATTTTAACTACCACTTTGCACTGATTTTTATATATATATATATATATATATATATATATATATATATATATATATATATATATATAAATGTTTTGGGTTTTTTTTGTACATTACTGCTTTCTATTTTGTCTTCAAATTAGCGCAAATAAAGCACTCAGATTATCAGTTGATTTATGAAAATTGGTAGGGAATCTCCTTAATTCCAGATCCCTTCCTGTTTTCATAAGTTATATGCTGATTATTTTCTCAGCTACAGTTCTGACAAGATTTTTCTCAGTTTTCTTGTTATATCATTAGTAGATCTTGTCATAGAAAAGTGAATAATAGATTATGGGATCTTGCCTAGAAAGAGGATAGATGTGTGCTGTCCAAAATTCTTTAATTTTTATTTTTTTAAATGTCAGTGCCAATTTGTAAAAATGTTTTTTTTTTTTTTTTTTTTTTCTTCCTCTAGATTCTTGGCAGGCAGGATGGGGTGCAGCAGGACTGGGTAATAGATGACTGCATTGGCAATTGGTGGAGGCCAAACTTTGAGCCCCCACAGGTCAGTAGTGCAAACATTTCCAACAGATGTATCCATTTAGTTCATTGCACAAAAGAATAAAGAAATTGATTTGCTGTTTTTTTTTTTTTTTAGTATCCATATATTCCTGCACACATTACAAAACCCAAAGAACACAAGAAGTTGTTTCTGGTGCAGCTGCAGGAAAAAGGTAAAAAACTGAAAAATTAATCCTTAAGATATATGGCTGTAGGCAGACTAACTTAGGGTTGATTCTAAAGGGCACATTTCATTCAATAAGTAAGCATCTTCTCAGTTTTTTTTATATCTTCTAGTTGGAACATGCTCCACCAAATGTTCCTGTAATTTGTATCTATAAAATATCAACCACAAGGCTTCTGTTCTGTTCTGAATTTTCTGTCACACTATACATTGATGCCCTAAACTGCTCTAATATCTTTACCTAACCTGAAGAAGCCTTAGTTTCATACTATTGTGGTGTCAAATCATGTTACCAGATAGCATTTTTATGAAGAAAGCGATGCTTAATGGGAAAGATGATCAAAGTACAGAGTACAGGCAGAACATTTTTTTTATTCAGTTTTGGACAGAGTTGAGATGGATTAGAATACCTGTCAGGTAGTGGTGCACCGAATTGAAAACTCTGGTGCTGAAACAGATACCGAAAATTCAGAATGCACGTGGCCAAAAAACCAAACCGAAACGTCTACGTATATGGGGGTGGGGAGGCTCCAATTTTTTTTTTTTCGTGTGTGTGTGTGTGTGTGTGTGTGTGTGTATGTGTGTTGTATGTGTGTATATATATACATACACACACAATGAATGTAGAGTCAGGTTCAGGAGGGGTCCATTCGATCTAGTCATCTGTTGGCAGTCTCCGGTTCCTCAAAAGATATAGATATATCTCCACAGAGAAATCTGGATAAACAGCAATTTTTGTGTTGTCAAAAGGTATATTACCCTTCAACCTGGAAAGGTAATATAGCATCCCGATCTTTGTAATTAAGAAATTTAGCAATGAAAGTCCATGGCGGAGCTCCCTGAGGGGGCGGTTTAGCCACCATGTGGTGGGGCATGCTCCACTACAAACATAGTAGAGAAGGCATCTCTACCATAGGTAGAAAAAGGATTTTTCCCTCTGCGCCCTCAGGAAGGCCGATGAAACTCATCCTATTTTCGAGGTCGTCCTGCTACTGTTGCAAGTGGGAGAGAATATGGCGCGCCTGTTCAGAGGAGTCCTGCAGCCGGAGGAGGGCATCCTCCACTTCAGATATGCGGGCATGGAGCTTTTGAAGATCCTGCCGAAGAAGGGAAATATCCACCTTTTACTTCTTCTATTTTGGATATACAGTTATGTCCATATATATTTGGACACAGGCACAATTTTAGTTTTTTTTAGGTATTTACCAAAACATATGCATGCTATAGTTTTTTAATGGATATGGGCTGAAAAGTGCACACTCTCAGGTTTAATTTGAGGGTATGTACATTCACATTAGAAGAAGGGTTTAGAAATTACAGCTCTTAAGAGTAGCCATCCAACTTTTTCAAGGGACCAAAAGTAATTGGACAAATGAATATAATTATAAATAAAATGTTCATTTTTAATATTTTGTTGAGAATCCTTTACTGGCAATGACTGCCTGAGTCTGGAACCCATGGACATCACCAAAGGTTGGGTTTCCTCCTTTCCGATGCTTTGCTAGACTCTAACTGCAGCTGTCTTCTGTTGTTCTTTGTGGGTTAATTCTACCTTTTAGTTTTGCCTTCAGCAAGTGAAATGCATGCTCAATTGGGTTAAGATCAGGTGATTGACTCGGCCATTGCAGAATATTCCACTTCTTTTCCTTCAAAAGCTCCTGTTATTTCCCTCAGTGCAGCTGGCGCACAAATCTGTGGTGTTGGTAATTTTGGGGAGTGTAGTTGTCATTACTTCAGCTATGACTGTACTCAGACCTAACGATTGGCTGGTAGGCCTAGGTGCTTTTCACCAAGGAACAGGTCACACGCTCCCCTATTTCTGAAAGTGCTGGGTATTTCTGATAGGAAAACATTGCAAAGCAGCTAAGATGAGTTTAAGGGTGTCAAGGGAAGTGGGAACAGCTTTGCTAAAACTCTGGGGTTTATTTACTAAAGCTGGAGAGTGCAAAATCTGGTTCACTTCTGTATAGTAACCAATCCGCTTCCAGTTTATATTGCCAAAGCTTAACTGAACAAGCTGAGGTTAGAAGCTGATTGGTTTCCAAGCATACGGGAGCCTGATTTTGCACTCTACAGCTTTAGTAAATAAACCCCACTGTCACTTTGCCTTACAAGGGCAAGATGACAATGTCTAATGTAATGTACCCAATCTCTAACATGTAACAGGTTAATGTAATTTCAAATATATTTTTGTACTGTATTTTTAGCACTGTTTGCAGTCCCGAAAAACTACAAACTTGTTGCCGCCCCTTTATTTGAATTGTATGACAATGCCCCAGGCTATGGACCTATCATTTCCAGCCTTCCACAGCTTCTCAGTAGGTAAGTAAAGCAGAGCCCATTGCTTTATATGTAGAATTCTTTAGAATATTGTTGTAGATATATTTTGCTGATCCAGAAAAAGGTTGTTGATAATGAAGCACAAACAAAGCTTAGATATTGATATTTTTCCTCATAAATATAATGGTGTTCAATTTGTAAATCGTGTTAGTCCTGGGCAATCGTTATTTTAATGTATTGCAAAGAAGCAGGGGAAAAATGAGTGGAATTAAACTCATAAAGCAGAACTTCATTCTCGCAGTCAACATCGACTATCTTTAATCCTTATGCTGCTAGTATTACCAAATAGATAGGAAAGTATATGATATTTACATTTTTACAGTTTTTATTATTTTTTTATTTTTATTTTTTTTAACATTTCTTCAGTTACTTTCTGGTTTCCAGGCTTAGACAAATGATGTCATAGATTCCAGGAGTCTTCAAGGAGACTCCTGAAAATGGCAGATGAACCTGTGTTAACCGCTTTCCCAACGCCCTATAGTAGATATACTGCTACAGGGAGGCAGGGGTGCGCAACATCACATGATATATATGAGATTTAGCATGACCGGGAAGGGGGCGCATGCTGCTATTTGCCGGCCTCGGCTGTCAATCACTGGGTCCCAGCCGGTGATTGCCAAGCATTACCGACGGAGAGAGAGAGCTGTATGTAAACAATACAGATCTCTCCCCTGTCAGCTCCTGCACACTGCTTTGTATGGCTCTGCATAGCAAAGCCATACAAAGAAGTGTGCTTACAGCTGAAAGCACTAACACAGCACACAGTTAACCTTTTGATTGCCCCACATGTTAACCCCTTCCTACCCAGTGCCATTAGTACAATATCAGTGCTTTTTATTAGCACTGATCACTGTATTGGTGTCACTGGGGATGTCAGTGACACCAAGTCCGTTCCCCCCAGTGTCAGAATGCCCTCCGCAGTCCCACTATAAGTCACCGATCACCGCCATTAGTACTACAAAAAAAAAAAAAAAAGTGTGGAAACTTTTTGAAGAACCTTCGTAGTATCAGGAAAAAATGTATGCAGGCTTTTGTTTTACATAGACAAGGGAAAGAGAGAGCGCACAGGCTCCTAGTGCAGTAACCTTTATTAAATTGCTAAAAGCAAGGTAAGTTACACTCACAAAGATAAATTTGTGTCAGGCATATCACCCCTCCACGTGGATATCGCTGCCATTGGTTTCCTCTTGTAGCCCCCATCGGAATGACACTTCGGCCATCAGCTGCAGCTCCACAGGCTGAGCACATGCTCTCCTCAATGACCACGGTATCCACGCAGACAGGGAACCAAGCCAGCAGCGGGGCAGAGGAACACTTGCAGTAAGCGACCGAGCTGGCTCAGTATGCAGCACTGCAAGCATTCCTCCTCCCCGCTGCTGGCTTGGTTCCCTGTCAGCGTGGATAGCGTGGTCAGTGAGGAGAGCATGAGCTCAGCCTGTGGTGTTGCAGCTGGGTGCAGAAGTGTCATTCTGATGGAGGCTGCAAGAGGAACGGCGGATATATCCACATGGAGGGGATGATATGCCTGACAAAAGTTTATCTTTGTGAGTGTAACTTGCATTGTTTTTAGCCATTTAATAAAGGTTACTGCACTAGGAGCCTGTGCGCTTTCCCCTTCCCTTGTCTATGTACAGCTTCTGGTGTCCTGCTGGTACATAAAGCAGCATGGCCTCCCTGGACACAGCAACCTTGATACAATTAATGCTACTGTCGATCTGTGTATTGTGTACTCATTGGGCACGTTATCTCTGGCGTTAGCACAAATCACTAGTTAATTTGTTTTATTTTACATAGTGGTTAGTAGCTCTAAAGGAGATTGTACAATCAGTAGTATATGGCCAGCTTTGCTGTTATTTAAAGACGCAGTTTGTGACCATAGAACAGAGGGTGATTTCTATGACCCCATTACAGTATTATTATAATGCAGGATTTATATAGCGCCAACAGTTTGCGTAGCGTTTTATTACATCATCGGTATACGTGCAATAAACAAGAAGCTGAAATCTCTCTATTTCTATGACAGGTTCAACTTCATTTACAACTGAGCAAGAACGAAGTCTGGACAACCTCATATAGGTGAAGCGGTCTCTGTGAGCACAGCTTTATAATGTGGGAATCTGGGCAAAATGAATTTTTTTCCTCTGAATCCACATAACGTTGCTGTTGGCGTAAATAGACTGTATGCAAAGTTATACAGCAACAATATTTGTTAGTGTTTTTATTTTTTATTTCCATTGTGTTTCAGTATGTGTTAACTCTGTTTTCTTACACAATTAAAAATGATTCTTTTCCTCTGTCTGTATGTTTATTTTATAATGCCCAGATCTAGATCTCTGCATTCTTCGACTGTTTGTTGCAGGGTAACTGAAATGGTAGCTCTACATACAACCCAATCTAAACATACTTCAGCGTAGGTTTCTTAGTACAGAAATGACAAAGAATTGGATGTGTTACACACGTGCCCGTCACTGGTTTGGGAAAATCTGGTGTTTGTACGAATGAAAATCTCAGTGATAGTATGTAACAACTAGTATGGAACTTCCCTCTTATCCAGAAAATTACAATAAAGGCACCTTTTTGTAAATGTTTAGTAATAACAATCTACAAACAGATACATGAAGATAATGGATTGTTATTCTTTGCGTACCTTTTATATTTTTTCCGTTCCTAGTCTTCTCGTGGTGGCCATTTTTACTAAGCGCAGATAAATCCATCTCCCTTTATTTCTTGGAACTCTGCCTAGAATTCTGTTTCAACCTCCTGGAACATGACAGGAACTTCCCAGAATGCAGCTGTATAGCCAGGATGAAAGCACCATTTCCTTTTAAATGGTTAGTTCATCTTTACCAGTAACCTGTCTATGCAGATAAGGGGTGTCTGTAGATGAAAATAAACTGTGTGTCTGACTAAAGTTGAATAGTGTCCTTGCTATAGTTGTAGGCCAGAATCTGAAGTATTTTTTTTTTTTCTAGGACGAAGAACCTCTAACTTAGAAACAACTTTAGTCTCTTTCATACAGTCAGTGGGATGATTAAATGGCTATCCTGTGCTGCATTATCTACTTGTATTGAAAGTGGATCTTTCCCTTAAAAATCATAGCAGCAATCTTCACGCTGAAATGAAATCATCTTACATTCATTAGCTAAAAAACATTTTTTACTTTTACTTATATTTACTGTTTTTCCACTTCCTGTTTTTTTCAAATGGTTAGTTCACCTTTACCAAAACACTGCCTGTGCAGATAAGGGGTGGCTGTAGATAAAACCAAACAGTGCAGCTCTGACTAAGGTTTAATATTGCTTATACTATAGGTGTAGTCCATTTACATATCTCCTGAAGCCAGACTGGAAAACTCCCAGGGCATTGCTAGGTGAGGCCTAGTCATTACTGCTCACCTCCACCATCACAGGAGTTAGCTCTCAGACGCTGAGCTCAGAGCTACTACATCAGGAGAAAGAGCATGTGAGGTGGTAAAAATCAGAGAAAAGCTCACTCCTGTGATGGTGGAGGTGACAGTAATTACTAGGCCTCACTTAGCAACAACCTAGCAATGTCCTGGGAGTATTCCAATCAGGCTTCATGAGGTACATAAATGGATCCACAGCACTGGTGTAAACGTCACAAAAAACGCCAAGAGGAGAAAGAGGAAGAATCCTTCACCACCACCAAGCACACTGCCTCTTACCGGATGGTAATGACCCCCGATTAAGGATGGGTCAAAGTGTGCTGCATGATCCCCAGGTACAAGCTATAGACTTAGGCACTCATTAAATCCAGATCTTTACACTAAATGGACTCAAGGATGAACCTAAAAAAGCATTATCCTCATTGAGGACAGTCCAATTCAAAAGATATAAAGGATCTTCATAGTGTAGTAATTAAAATAAATTTTAATGCTTCAAACTCAGTAAAAAAGGTACATCATAAAAAGTACAAAACAGCATGTCACCATGTCTCTGGTAGCAAATTTCAAACCAACAAGATGGGCGCTACGTTTTAGTGCACAATGATGTCATATGCTCTGGCTCTTCCCTTTGCGTTTTGTCATGAATGATGTCATCATTGCATGAGGCAATACCTGGACCCTACAGAGGTTGCACAGGCAGTCCAAGTCCTCCAGGATGGCACATCAATAAGTGCCATTGCCAGAAGATTTGCTGTGTCTTCCAGCACAGTTTCATGAGGATGGAGGGGATTCCAGGAGACAGGCAGTTACTCTAGGAGAGCTGGACAGGGCCGTAGAAAGACCTTAATCCATCAGCAGGACCGGTATCTGCTCCTTTGTGCAAGGAGGAACAGGATGAGCACTGCCAGAGCCCTACAAAATGACCTCCAGCAGGCCACTGGTGTGAATATCTCTGACCAAACAATCAGACTTCATGAGGGTGGCCTGAAAGCCTGACGTCCTCTAAAGGGCCCTCTGCTTCCTGCTTGGCACCATAGAGCTCGATTGGCATTTGCCATTGAACACCAGAATTGGCAGGTCCACCACTGGCACCCTGTGCTTTTCACAGATGAGAGCAGGTTCACCCTGAGCACATGTGACAGACATGAAAGGGTCTCGAGAAGCTGTGGAGAATGTTATGCTACCTGTAACATCGTTCAGCATGACTGTTTTGGTGGTGGGTCAGTGATGGTCTGTGGAGGCATATCCATGGAGGGATGCACAGACCTCTACAGGTTAGATAATGGCACCCTGACTATCATTAGGTATCGGGATGAAATCCTTGGACCCATTGTCTGACCCTACACTGGTGCAGTGGGTCCTGAGTTCCTCCTGGTGGACGACAATACCAGGACTCGTGTGGCGAGAGTATGCAGGCAGTTCCTGGAGGATGAAGAAATTGATACCATTGAATGGTCCCCACACTCGCCTGAACTAAATCCAATAGAACACCTCTGGGACATCATGTTTCGGTCCATCTGACGCTGCCAGGTTGCACCTCAGACTGTCCAGGAGCTCAGTGAAGCCCTGGTCCAGATCTGGGAGGAAATAGCCCAGGACACCATCTGTCATCTCATTAGGAGCATACCCTGATGTTGTCAGACATGCATACAAGCACATGGGGACCATACAAACTACTGAGTACCATTCTGAGTTGCTGCAATGAAATTTCAGTAAAATGAACTAGCCTGCTGCATCATTTTTTCACTTTGATTTTCGGGGTGTCTTTGAATTCAGTCCTCTGTAGGTCGATCATTTTCATTTCCATCAAACAATGGGGCATCCTTACGTTCCTAACACATTACCCAGTCCATATCAGTATAGATATCCAGCATGATGTTTTTCTCCATTGATATCTGATGTGTATTCAAAGTGTTCCTTTACTTTTTTTTAGCAGTGTATATAAGAAATATGCAGTATCTGTGGAATGATTAAATAGTCCAATGTGATGCAGATCCCAACATCAAGCTGTGATACAATAGTCCTCAGAGATGATTCTTCTCTACTTGTGTTCAAAAATATAAATACACATTCACCCGAGGTGCCTGACCCCTTTTTACAGGCAGGTTAAGCAGTGTCTTTTGGCTCTCAAGGGTTCTTAGCACTTTGCCTCTGAATGAACACAGTGAGTGATTGGTACCAGGGACCGAAATGCTACAGGAAAGTGCTTTCCATGCTGAGCTAATCAAAATGACCACAACTGATCACAGTTGAAAGTCAAATGGCTTTGTGTGTCATTGAGAAGGTGGTTAGCTACACCTAAGTTTACAAGTCATTTATAGGAAGGGGTGATCCTTTTTACAACTCAGTGATTCTGTTTTTGATTTAAAAAATAATTCTGACATATTGGTGTTATATCTTTCATTTGGATATAAATACAGGTGGATAAAACAAAAACTGTGTCTGTCTTCATTTCAGGCTGCAAAGAAACAAAATGCGATTATTTTAAAGGGGGGTGATTCCTTTCTATATCCACTGTATTTGTATTTCTCATCATTTAGTTTAGAGATTACAGAGCTTTGCCACCAATCACAGCCCTGAACCAGCTGCTGGCAAATGCTGTGCTAATTCACAGCCAATTATACACTCATCGTCACTTTATTAAGTACACCTTGCTAGTACCGGGTTGGACCCCCTTTTGCCTTCAGAACTTCCTTAATTCTTTGTGGCATAGATTCAACAAGGTGGTATTCTGCATACCTTGGTTGTATCGAGTGGTTATTTAAGTAACTGTTGCCTTTTTATCATCTCAAACCAGTCTGCCCATTCTCCTCTGAGATCAACAAGGCATTTTCGTCCACACAATTGCTGCTCACTGGATATTTTCTTTTTTTTGAACCATTCTCTGTAAACTTTATGATTTTTTCTTTTACATTTATGTCTTAGCCCTGATGAAGGGGATAATGTGTGGTCCCTGAAATGCATTGGCTGTAGCACCTGCTATAGTTTTTGAGATAAACTTCATTTTAGGCTCTTGATGTGGCACTTCAATTTTCAACAAACACCGTTTCTATGATCTGAGGCAACTGTTGCAGTTTCTTACTTCACAAGGGCAGCCCACCCATTACCAAGATACGCTGTAGGGGTATTATCAGTACATTTTTGTTCAATACATGAATTGGGATCAAATGGAGAAAGAACGTAGCCAGCCTGTAACAGGAAGTCAGTTCACAGTAGCAAAAAAGATATTTACAGTTGCAAGAAAAAGTATGTGAACCCCTTGGGATTACGTGGAGTTTTGCATGAATTGGGCATAAAATGTGCTCTGAACGTCATCTAAGTCACAACAATAGAAGAACACAGTCTGCTGAACATAATACTACACAAACATTAGATGTTGCCATGGTTTAATTGCACATAACATGTAAACATTCACAGTGCAGGGAGGAAAAAGTATGTGAGGCCCTAGCTTAATGACTTCTCCCAGAGCTAATTGGAGCCAGGAGTGAGCCAACCTTGACTTCAATCAGTGTGATGATATTGGATGTGTTGCTGACAGCTGTCCTGCCCTTAAAAAACACACACCTGTTATGGGTTTACTGATTTCAAGAAGCGCTGTCTGATGTGAACCATGCCGCGCAGAAAAGAGCTCACAGAAGA